CTTGTGTTCTGCATTAAACTATTTATAGTTTAAGGGCCTGGTTAGAAATGTTGCCTTAGACTAGGAATAGCTAAGAGCTTGTTATAAAATGATGTGGCCTTAGATTAAGAATAATTTAAGAGCATTATTGATATATATTGAATATCAAATGACTTGGAATAAAATATTGAAAATATTTTGAATGTTTGAACCATATATTGTGTGCATGATATCAAATGGTTGATTATGAATTGAAATTCAATTTATGTGGATGTTCGACGTTTTAGATATGCTTACTCAGCTTCACCGCTGAGCGTGTAGTATGTTTTATTTGCTACACGCAGGTAAACAGAAAGATTAATGTGATCCTGGCGGCAGATGGGGCGAGATTGTCGGGATGGATGTGACAAGTTTTGAAATGATTTATGATATGTCAATATTAAATTCGCTTCCGCAATATTGTTAAATACTCCGTACTGTATATGTTATGAAAAATATTATTGAGATTAATAAAGTGTGTTTGAAAAGTTTTAAATTTTACGATTACCAAGTTAAATACTTTAGTCCGAATGGGGCTGCAGACCTAGACGGATTAGGGTGTTACAATTTGTGTATAAATATAGATATTAATGGTTAAAGTACAACATGGGATACAATGAAAAATCAAATGGGAAGAATATTTCCTGACGGATGGAGTAATATGTTATGTTTCTGCCCTCCTTGTTAGCATCTTTGTCTCGCTTAGACATGGACACGCGTCGGTTCCGGTATGGTTCAGGTTCAAGCACCCCCCATAACCAGCGCCCGCCTATGTTGGTACTGGCGCCGGTTCCAGAACCAGCGGTTTTGGTTATGAGCCGGTGTTCCGATCATGTTTAAATTTTTTCGTTTTATAATATTGGTATATATATGTGTGTGTGTGTGTAGAACAATGTAATCTAAAAACAAAGTTGTTATTTGAATAACAAAAATTGGATAGTGCAACTACATTTATTACTCTATCTGGTTCAAAAAAATGATGATGTAAAGAACTGTTAAAGTCATGTTGTCCTCAACTTATTTTTTATTTATTACTTATTTTTATTGAAATCACATCAGATATTAAATAGCTTTAAATATAACTACACTCAAATCAGATCAGAACTTATTCCAATCTGATCAAGTGAAGAGAACATGGCCTAATAAACCCTTGAAGCAGGTTATAAATCGCTCTCCTAAAAAAACTAATTACAATTTAAGAAAAAAAGTTATTTGTCGGAACTGCCATTTTTCTTTATGATTGCATCCATGCAATTTTGTGTATCCATGTCATAGCTTGTCTCTTGTGCTCAACGCCTTGTCAAGAGCCACATTCGGTTGCAAACAAGTGTCTCCAGCGATTCAACGTTAAGCAAATCTCAGAAGTCAATTAAAATATTGCCACTAGAACTGAACTCTTGTTCCACAAATACAGTTGAAACTTGCATAGATAACACGTATCTAGCTAGTATTCTGAGTGACGGGTGATGGGTGTATTCCACCCAACACCGGTCCAAGGGAAGGTTTCCAAATACTTGACCGGTCAAGGTTAAATTTATAGATTGGGAAAGTGAAACGACAATGGAAATATATTGGGCGATGATAAAAACTTGACCGGTATACTTCGCGTAGTCTACTGGTCAAACCCCTTGACTTGCCTCTTAATTCCCAATCTCCACAAGTATATTTCGTGTGAACCTAACCGGTAAGGTTTTTAGGGTTGGGAAGTGTCAGCATGAAAAAATCAGAGGGAGGTTGGACTGTAGCGGCCAAATTCAACGAAGGATCACTAGAGATATTCAACCAATCCGTCCAACACGCTACGTGAGAAAAGAGTCACCTTCTTAGCTAAATAACAAAGGAATAAAGGGGTGAAACAAGCCACTAAAGGATAGAGACTATCACCTCGCACCACCCAAGAACGTGTCCTGACGTGGATGTGCGGCGCCTGGTCCCCCATTGATTACTATAAATACCTGTGTAACTCTCAAAGGAAGGGATCTGACTTCTTCTCACTAAAACCCTTGTGTAAAAGCTCCCGTGCATTCTACAATATTTGAATAACAACTGAGCTAATATGTGTTTCCACATACAGTCTTCTTGGTCACTTTGTGTGTTTTAACCTCTTACTGTCTCGAATCCAGTAAACGATCCTAGACCCGGTCTAAAACTGTTTACCCGGATATGTAATTTACACCATTCCGGAAGTCAGTTAAAATGTTGCCACTAGAACTGAACTCTTGTTCCACAAATACAGTTGAAACTCGCATAGATAGCACGTATCTAGCTAGTATTCTGAGTGACGGGAAAATGTGTTCATTCCTCTTCCACGAGTCGAGGACGTCGAACTTGCTGTCGTGGTCTTCATCATAGTCGCATGAGACGTCTTGGTACATCAAAAGTTCATTGTGCAAACTTATTGTTGTACCATCTGTACTTGTAGAAGTACTCTTACCTTTTCTTGCCAAGAGACCACCAACTATTCCTTTAAAACATTTCTTTGCCTCTAGGGCAGAAGGAGTTGTTTCTTTTGAAGGAGTACCATACAAAACTTGAATTATTTATATAAATAGTGAAAAAGGGTAATAGCATTGTCTTTTTCTTTGGTGCATTCTATTAAATGCTCATAATAATAACCATTTTTATTTAAAAACAATTATAACAATACTTAAGAAAAATTTTAGGAATCTCAGTCTTAAAGAAGAGATTACAAATAATACCAATTTTATAAATACGAGGAATATTCAAGTAATAAGCAAGCTATTTTTCTCTCATTTGGATACGGCAAATATGGATCAAACATACTTCCACCAAAAACATGTAATTATTGTAATGCACTCAAAAAAAAAGTTCATCGAGGGTTTATAAACATGGTTAAAATTGCACTCCTAAACAAAGGGGGTAAGGCTCTCCCCTTCTTATAATTCTCCGAGGAGCTATAGCCTTAAAAGTTAAAAATGGCTCCATCGAAGAAGAAAAGCAAAGCCAAAGGTAACCCAGCCACCGAGTCAGCTCAGTCCATACCGTCTTCGGCATCCACATGCTCATCCACGCCAAGCCTGGCCTGCATCAGCGTCGTACCGCCGTCCTCCGTCGCGATAACCATCCACGCCAAGCCCGGCTCCAAAATCGCCACCATCACAGGTCCCCCCTTTCTCAACCCTAGCCAGTCTGTCGGTTTTATGATACGGAGCAATTAATTGTATGCAAAAAATATTAATTTTCCTTGTTCGTGTTCAGATTTGAGCAACGAAGCAGTTGGAATCCAAATTGATGCCCCTGCAAAAGATGGTGAAGCAAATGCTGCCCTTATAGACTACATAAGCTCAGTAAGTCCTAATTCTCCTTGAAATTCTTGGATTTTCAAAAATATTTTTTCGTCCATCGCGAGTTTTGGTGTCTTTTTATCATTGGTTTTAAAGTTGATTTGGCTCTTTATCATTGATCAGTCTAATGTAGAAAAAAATGCGTTCGTAGTCAATTAGGACATCGTAAATTAGGACTCCCTCTGGTTCCAGATAGGACATTGTGGTTCAGAGTATGTGGCTAAGTGGCTTAATCAAAGTTATTTTCTATTCAATGTTTAGTACGGAGTAATTGGTAATCCTTAAAATACTCCGTATATCATTTGATCAAAATTGCCATATTTGTTGCTTCAAAAAAAAATTGCCATATTTGAAAACTGCACTGCAGGTCCCATTAAATTAGAAATAAAGCAAAGAAAGAATATTTTTTTGACCAGGTGAATTGAAGTTATCTTTTTTTGGATCATTGGGAGTATTACACAATTGTACAATTTCATATAAAGATTTCCAAATGGGATGACTTTTATGTTAACCTTGCTTACTCTTTTCTAAAACATTATTTTTTATGTAGTGTGCTAGTGTCAAGTAATTGTCTAAAGTTAGTAAACAATATAAAAATGAAAAAAAGACACACTGACGGAGTCTTAGGGGATACATCCTTTGTCTCATACCCTTTTAAATAAATTCTACTGTGTTAATAAAGAATATACAATAACTTCTACCAAACTAAACCAAACATACCCAGCATTGGTGGTATGTTTCAATTTGGTAATTGCCATCTTAAACTGATATTCTGTTCCCAAGGATTCTCCAAGACGAATAAACGTCAACTTCAGCACCTTTTTGAGACCCGTTGTAGCAACATAATAGATGTGATCTTTACAAAATAATTAAGATAGCCTGAGTGTAGCTAACATATCTATAAAACATTAATATGACTGAATATCCATAAATAAGTGGGATAGTGGACTTAGTTACCTGTTTACCACCACCGATTTAATAACCAACTCAATAACTTAAATACTGAAAACCAAAAAAGAAATCATCTAAGAGCAGATTCAATCATAATGGATATGTAATTAAAATACAATGGTTTCCTAATGGTGCACCTTTTATATGTCTTTAGGCACGTATGAGTATTCCCGCTGGAAAGCTGACTTGTTCTCAAGTTGTAATTCTTGAAATTGTTGCATCAATATTCATGGTCCTTGATGCAACCTCCAATGGTAACTGCCATCGTAAGTCGACATTCCATTCCCAAGGATTTTTCAAGACAAATAAATGTCAACTTCAGCACCTTTATGAGACCCGTGGTAGGAACATAAACGATGTGATTTTACCAAATAATTAAGACAAATACTTATCATAATTAGTTAAATAAACTAACTGCTCAAAGACAATGTTTAGACATCTACAAGACCTGCCGTAGCAACATGAAAGGCGTCCTTTTTAAACTCACAAGTTTTTGATACTCTCCTAGCCTTAAAAGTTTATTTATTTCAAATTCAACATCAAAAAACTTGTTTTACAATGAAGGAAGTAAAGCTTATTTACAGGCATAATTATCACTAAGCTACAATCTAATTAATTAAAAAAAGATACAAATATCAAAATTAAATTCTATCAAATATTCTTGATTGATTCTTCCAAGATGTTGTGCTTTAACCTCCATGCCAAGCCAAGTGAGATGAGACTTTTTTATCCATCTTTGTTCCTGAATTATCATGTAATGACAACATTAATTGTCTTGGTAAAATTTTCAAAAATAAAGCATGTAAATCTTCCTTGGCTTCACCCACCAAAACTTTATCTTGAGTCATAGGGCTGAAAGGTGAGGGGCTTTTCGCCTTTCTCGCCTAAGTCGCTCGCCTCAAGCATTCGTTTTTCTTGTCTTTGTTAGACATGACCAGATCAAGGCAAAGTAGAATATTTTATTGCTGTAAAACTGTACAGGAATGTTTGTGTTCTCTAAATATAAATTGAGAACAGACCAACATGACTTTTACTAACCAACACAACTATTACAAACCAACACACCCATTAACAATAGAAACTACCCATAACTGTCTTTTAGAAACTGCCCAACTGTTTTTTTTAAATTAATTAAATATGTAAAACACACTAAACGACACCACACTAATTGACTCTATACTAACTGACCCGAACATTGACTCATTACCCATTCAGTTATATGTGAACAAACCCGATTAAATCTAACAGTCTTACTATAGTTCTGCCTTCTGCTATGGGCCTTTTAAAAAATGGGCTGGCATTTTTTATAGGAAAGGGCTACCATCTTAAACGCGACTCATTTACACCTTAGAATCCAGTCAATCGACTCAACTCTACCTCGTCTCCTCTGGTTTCATTGGGAACTCAAGTAGTCAAGTCTCATATCCTCTCTCTTTGGTCTTGTCTGATCTCCTCTTTCTCTCTGGCATCTCTCATCAGCTCTCTCTCTTCTCTCTGTTTCTTTTTGTAATTCTTCTACTGCCAACTTTTTACCATATTTTTTTATGCTTCACATGTTTAGCTTACATCTGTGTTGATGAGAGGAGAGCAATGATGAGTATGAGAATGATTTCGAACCTCTTATTCCATCAAACATGATGGAAAATATGAATTTCTCTTTGACTGATGACGATTACGATTAGCCTTTGAGAAACATATGAAGTAACTACTCTAATTGTTTTGTTTAACATGTATGATTTGTTTGGGATTGACATTATTAATTCTATTGCACTATATATTTTATGTATTAGTGTGTATGCCCAAGTTTGCCTTTTGGCTGCCCGCCTCTCGCCTCGCCTTCCTTTTACCTTTCAAAACTAAGTCTTGAATACTAATCAAATATGTATAAGTATTGCATGAAAGGATTTGGGATTGATTGGAATGTAATTAATTAAAACTAGGTTAATTAGGAGGAAACTTCCGTATCCCCAAAATATCGTAGAACGGTTGATCATAACGTAACCCGTTTGCATTCCAGGAGGTCGACCATGAAAACCGTCCAGTGAGTTAGTACTTATCTTAATCAGTTTAATAAACTAATGGGTCAAAGATAACTCCTGCACCTCTATGAGACCTACCGTAGCAACACGAAAGGTGTGATTTTAAAATTCACAAGTTTTTGAAATTCTCACAAGTCTCACAACCTTAAAGGTCAATATATTTCATATTCAACATCCAAAATTGGTTTTGCAATGAAGGACATGGAACTTATTTATAGGCATTATTATCTTTAAGCTACAAACTAGTTAAATAAATAAAATACATATATCCAAATTAAATACTATCAAATATTCTTTAGTGTTACTTCGAAGATGTTGTCCTTTAACCTCCATGCCAAGCCAAATGAGATTAGCTGTTTTTATCCATCCTTGTTCCTTAATTATCATATAATGACAAGTGACAACAATATTTATCTGGATGGAATTTTCATAAATAAATCATGTACAAAACTTTCTCTTGAATACCAATCAGATGTGTAAAAGTATCGCATGAAAGGATTCGGGCTTGATTGGAAATGAATGAATTAAATCTAGGTTAATTTGGAAATTAGGAAGAAAATTCAGTATCCCCAAAATATCATAGAACAGTTGACTGTAACCCATTCACGGTGTGGGGGTAGACTCTGACAGCCGTCCAGTCACTCCAGTGAGTCACTTCATCCAGTCGAACAGGTACGGTTGATCGTTTTCTCGTACAGTCTAGTTGCTGGATTGTGAATTTACCCTGAGACGCTAGTCCTGTCAACCGCTGCATTTGCTCGGTTCAGTTGCTACCTGCTGGACCGGAAACCATGGGTTTTGATCACCATCTTCCAAAGTCCCTCCGGGTTCACCAATTCTATTCCAGCAGTTTTTTTTTAACTTTTACCCTCCGTTCATCCATTCCGACTTCTTTGTATCATTCGAGACAAATGTATTTTATTATTTATGAGCAAATTAAAATTATCGCGATTCTTTACGCCCGTGCCCTTGTGATTGGACTCTCTAGTATGGTTGATTTCAAAGCCTCATTGTCTTTATTAAAACCAGCCCGTATCCTCTTGGCCTGTGCCCCATAGTAGGACCCACTATTATAATTAAGTCCAGTGGTTTGTCTCAATGCTCCCAAGATGTCGGCCCTTCCAACGATTAGACAGAACCTTTCCTGGTTCCAAGAGCAATTCAAGGTCATCAGAAATTGGTAATTCTGCAGGAGGATCTGACACTGTGATGCCATCTGCAGGACGGAGCAAGGAGACATGAAACACTGGATGAACTATCTCTGTGGAGGGCAACTGAAGCTCATAAGCCAGTGGTTTGACTTTTCTACTGGTGTTGTAGGGTCTAAAGAATTGTGGAGAAAGCATGGTGTATGTCTTGTGAGCTATGGAATGCCGACAGAATTGTTGAACTGGAAGATAAACATCATCACCTTCTTCGAATTTAAGCTCATGCCGGTGACCATGTGTACAAGACTTCATAAGACCTCATTCTGTCTTGTGCTCTCTTGAGATCACCTTGGAGCAAACGTAGCATATGGTCCCTGGTTTCCAATTGGTCAGCAAGTTCTGCAAAATTTGTTTCTCCCTTAACGTAGCGATGGTCGATGGAGTGGAGGTGGGTCTCTGCCATAAACGAGCTTAAATGGATTTGTATTCGTGGATGCGTGGAAATTAACACTCAGCCCAACATAAGAAGTTGCTCTATGCAGGTGGTTGTTCTTGTGCAAAACATCTCAGATAAGCTTCAAGACTATTAACTACTTGCCCGTCATTTTGGGGATGATAGGTGGTACTCGTTTTCAAACATATTTCGGGTCATTTGACCAATTCCAGCCAAAATGGTGCTCAAGAATGGGGATCCTGATCTAAGATGATAGAGTGGGGTATGCCATGCAGTTTTAGGATCTCTTCACAATAGCGGACAGCCACTGATTTTGGAATGTAAGAATGAGAGTTGAATAGAATTACAGTATTTACTCAACCTATCCACTACCACCAGAATAGTGTCAAAATTTCCAAATTTGGTCAACCGCAGAATAAAGTCGATTGAAAATTTTTCCCATCTACCTCTTCCTGCTCTTATATTAAACCAACAAATAAATTTTAAAATATACTTTCTCCACTCGGATTTAGTTGCCTACTCTCTCGTTTTGGGAAGTAGAGCATTACTTCCTCTTTAAATTTTTCTTCTTTCCATATTTTGTAAACAAAAAAATTAGGAACCATCAATTTTACCCCTTTGAAAGTCTATTATTAACATTATTGTTATGAATGTATGGCAAGTAATTTGAAAGGTGTGTTTCTACTTTCTATCAAGCATCTTAGGTTAATGAGATTGGTATGATCCTTTATTCCCTTTCACGGCACGATATTAAATTATTAAAAAAAAGAATAAATAAATGCACAAGCTGAATTTATAATCTTTATGGGAGAAGATTCAAGTCATCTTAGGTGCTGCACCTAAGAATATTTGGAAGATACGTGTTCTTACACTCATTCTTTAGATATGAGATTTTTTTTACTGAATAGGGAGTAGTAATATTTGATTATTTTCACTTGTACGGACTTGTACATTTGAGAAACAAGACTTTATGCGAGGGGAGTAATATTTTCTCATTGCCCAATGCCGGTGATGAAGTGAGTTTTTCAATTGTAGCTTTGGAGTAATACTTTGAGTTATCTTTCTTTTTTTTAATAGTCAGACTTGGAATTATCTTTTGGCGTTTTCTAGTTAAGAAGGTTTTGATTTTGTGTAAAAATCTCACAAGCAGTCATTGTCGGTCAGGTTCTTGGCGTGAAGCGAAGGCAAGTTTCCATACGTTCGGGCTCCAAGTGTAGGGATAAGGTAGTGATTGTGGAAGAAGTAAATGTACAGACTGTGTTCGATGCACTGGACAATGTTTTGAAGAGCCACTGAACCAACAAATTTTCTAGACATGCCGGGGAAGGTATGGTCACTCTCGCCTGCGCGTATATCATGGCCACATTCCTGTTTCCAAGTATGTATTGTACAATATTTATTTTGATAGGAGTGATAATTTGTCCTCAATTTCTCCCCGTACATACGAGGAAAAAAACTAGTACTCCTTTACAAGCTTCGGAAGTACATTTGCACGCCAATTAAGAAAGTTGGTTTTTTGATTGTTGGTTTCGAGGGGTTACCCCTCCCTACTCAATCGTCCATAACGATCCCTCCCACTCGTAAAGCCCGTTTCGGCTTTCATTTTTTCTCTTTCGTGGAATGTTGACGTAGTGCCAAGGAAGACACTCCTAAATTGTCTCCATACCTAGTGTTCGAACTCACCCTACGCTTAAGACTTGCGAGATTTAGATTATAAGATTGAATAGATACTATATTGATGAGTACGAGAGCTACTAAAAATAATTTACATTCCCTCCAAATGTTTCAAGAATCAGATATCAATCCCCACATATCACATCACACTTGTATTTAAAATTTCAAAAAAAGGTAAACACTACAAACTCTTCTACTAACACAAAAATTAAGCCTTTACATTATGTTTAAATCAAGGCATTTGGAAGGAAGAGAAATGAAAATTGTTCTCTGTCAATTTGCTCACCAAAGTAAGAAGAATTTAGGTTTTTCTCTTCTTTATTACAGAGCAAATTTTATCTTTCTCATTTTTTTCTTCTTCCGCTTTTCGGTGAGTTCCCATGACATTGGAATTCCATGTTATAGGGATGACCTGGGGGCGTTCCAGTGCCCCATCTGTAAAATTGATGGTTCCTACTCTCCTTAAACCCCCGGTAAAACCCTCCACCCCGTCCCGATCTGAATACTAACCTGCCCTCTTCAATTGCACCCCACAAATTAATTTTGACTCCACAATTACGAGGTGAAGTCGAATTTTGATTCCAAAGTCAAATTAATTTGGGGGGTGCAATTGAAGGGGGTGAGAGGGGGGGTGCCTGAGTCGGGGTGGGATAGTGCAACTACATTTATTACCCCGGCGGTTCAAATTGGGCGGTTCAAATTGGACGGTGTAGAATTAAAAAATAAAAATTTTGTACTAACATACTACATCAAATTATATCCAAAACTAGTTGTGACATGATTATTTTATTTTATTATTTGTGTCGCATATATAATTATGATATAAGTCATCTGTGTGATGCATGAGTGTACCTCTGATAGTAACCATTTAGGGGCACCCTCGCAATAAAGCATCAACTAACACATTTTGCCTGGTTTTGTTAAATCCATACAAATATCAAATTTATATTAGTAGGTGTGAATTTAGTAAAATGAGATGAAAAGTGTGAATATGACCATACCTCGAATGACTTCGCAACACCCTGTTTCTTTTAAGAAAAAATATCTTAAATAATCTCATCTTTTTACGTTAAAAAAAATAATCTCACTTTTCACTGTCACAAAAAAATCCACTTGATGGGTGTATTCCATCCAGGACCGGTCCATGGTTGTTCTGATCATATGACAAAAGTTCATACTGGTTGGTGTCGGCACGAAAGGATCCAAGGGAGGTTGGACAGTAGCGACTGAATTTAATGAAAAATCACCGAAAATATTCGCACAATCTGTCCAACACGCTACGCGACAAGGAAGTCACCTTCTTAGCAAAATGACAAGAGAATAAATAGATAAGACAACCCACTAAGGGCAAAGGCAATCACTTCGCTCCATCCAAGAACGTGGCCTGACGAGGATGTGCGGCGCCTTGTTCCCTCTAGCTTTCTATAAATACTTGTGTAACCTTCAAATGAAGGAATCATAATTTCATCTCTCTAGAATTCATATTATAATAACTCCCGGTAATTTCTTGCATAGTCAATAACAAGTGGACTACAAGTGCTTCCACCTACAGTCTTACCAGTCACTCTTGCTTTCCACATTTCTTTACTTTCGAAGCACAACAGACTATTCTAGACCCGGTCTAGTACAGTTTGCCCGGTGGTTAATTTACACCATCACCACCTATCCGTATGTATGCGAGTTTTGGATCGACGTTAAAAAGCTAACTGCCACTTAATGAGATATTTGGAAAATGCTTGTTTTTCGCAAATAAATGAAAAATAGGATTATTTTAAGCAAATATACTTTAGAATTTATGTTTTTTAAGAGTATAACCGTACACTCTTGTTAGAGATTTGTCTCAATTTTTTTAAAATATAATTATTTACAAATTTTGTTTTCTATTATGGGGGGAAATATAATATTGGATCATCAAAAAAATAATTCAGAATATCGCTCGAGAGAGAAATTGCAGCACACAAAAATTGTAGTGAATTATAAAAATAATTAGTGCCATTTTCGAGAGAAAATATTGTGCCATTCTCACAACTTTTGAATTATTATTTTGGGGGGGAAATTTGTGCTGAATTAACGAAAAAAATCACAAGTTAGGTAGTTCCATTATAGAAAAAATAATACAGGTAATAAAAGATTATCAATAAACATTTCAAAGTGTTGCTCATGAAAAAATTGCAATATAACAAAAAATATAGTGAGTTATAAAAATAAAAGTTCCTTTTCAAAAAAAACTTATTGCGTTATTTTCACAACTGTTGTAATGTTGTTTTACAAAAAATATTTATATAGAATTTTCAAAAAATATTTACAATTTTGCAGTGCTATTTTTTAAAAAATAATAACAATATTGTATCAAAAAAACATATTGAAATGCCGCTCAAGAAACATAATTGCAACTTCCAAAAAAAGAGTGAGTTATGAAGTAAATAAATTAGCTCCATTGTGTAGAATATTTTTTTGTTCAATTATTATCAGACTCTCGATTAATAAAAAAAATAATTAGTTTTACTCTAAAAAACACTTAATTTTGGTATTATTTATGAAAATTTTTTAAAAAAATTCATTTAAATTTAAAGTTAGAAATTTAAAAAACAAAAAATTAACTCAAATAATCTCACCTTTCATTTATTTGTGAAAAACAAGCATTTTTCAAAAATTTCGTTTAGTGACCGTTAGTTTTTTAACGACGACTCAAAACTTGCACACATGCAAAAAAAACGAGGTTATTTCCGGTGACAATGAAAAATATGATTATTTTTGAAAGAGCGCGAAAAGGTGAGATTGTTTGAGATAATTTTTTCTTATTTTAATTATCAACATCCATTTTTAAATAAAATTGTTTATTTTAAGCTTTGAATATTTAAGTTCTTTAAAACTGGTTTTTGAAGACATTCCAATAGAAGGATGGCTGCAAACCCAAAGATGGTTTTATAGAGTTAAGATTGATGTCAAATTACGTTTTTAATGCTCAATTTAACACCAAATGACGAGAAGTTAAAAAAAATAATATCGACGGAAAGGTAACAATGAATAAAGGACTATAATTGTAATATTTGATAATAATAGACTAAATATAAAAATAAAAGAAAAAAGTCAATTAGGTGGATTTTTTTAAATTCGAGTCACTATCTTATGGACAAAAGAAATATACTTTCACCTAAAAGTGAGAATGAGAGTTTGACTCGAAGCTACTACTCTACCCATGCAAGTTGAATATGACTAAATAAGTAGAAGTATTTGTATGAATATTTATTTTTGAGTTAGAATACTTATTCTCGAGTAATTGATTATTTATTTTCGAGCACAATTAAATTTTTTTAAAAAAAGAATATTCAATTACTCGAAAATGAATATTAAGTTGGTCAAAAATGAGTATTAAATTACTCGTAAATGAATATAGCGAGTATGTAAGAAAACACAGCATAATCGGTTGTACGATATATATCGCGGGCCTTATACTCCCCCGTCACAAAATTCCTTAAACTTTGTTTTGAATGTTTCAAAAAATAATTCACCCTTATTTTATTCTCTATTTTGATAATGAATATAAGTGGCCACAAACAATTCTTTTCCTCTTAACAAATTCTAATCAAACAATTTACTTTTTAATAATTTTCTTAAATTTTACTACCTATTTAGGTCCTGTTTTATGGATTTTTTTCCAACGACGACTTAAAAATATATTTATATATGATCAATATAAAATAAAACTATATATCCAAACTTATAACATATCACCCTAAACACGAAATTTTCTTTTATCCAAAAATAGATATTTTTAAATATTTGTATGGATGATCATTTAAGTGATTGTTTTTCTAACACTTAAATCTTTCCAACATTCTCTTAGTCTTTCTAAATTTTTTCAATTATTTTTAATTTCTTCTAATTTTCAACTCTAAAATTCCAATCTAAAATAAGAGGGACTTAAAAGTTTAAATTAAAATTTGAAACTACTTGGAGAACTTTCTTTTTCAGCCCAACAACCCAGCCACCACCTCCGTTATTCTCACCAACCCCCCCAAAGGATCCTGTTAATTACTGTACTTAATTGCAGAAGACCAGACAGAGTCCTTCAACTCAATCCTCTGCCATTATTTTCAAACAATTTCTTCTACCGTGTCTCGATCGGAACAAGTCCGGGGACGCCATTAATGGCGACGGCTTCTCATTCTCTGCAGCATTTGTATGTCTCTTCATCTTCTTCATCTTGCTCTGATTCGAAGCCCTTCAAATCACCGATCTCTTTCTCTTCCCGGATCCGCCCCGTCACGCTCAAGTAACTCTTCTCCATTTGCCTTCTTACTCGTTGTTCTTGTTTCACTATTTCCCTGCATTGGCATTGTATGCATATGCATTGTGTCTTTAGGCGGTTTTTATCTTACCAAATGGATCCTTAATCTTGTTTCCGTTGGGAACAATTGGAGCTCAATAGCTCTTAAAGAATGCCTTTTTATTTCATTGTTTGGTAGTGATATGGTGTGAGACAGGGAGTGCTTTTTGTGGTTTCATTGATTGGGAGCTACAAGTTAGTTTTACTTGAATATAGACTTGATTTATTGTTGATCAAGTTAATGGATCAATGTGCCCCGGAGACGTATCATGGAGCTCTCAACTATGACCTTTGGTCCAACCCTAATGCCAAATTGTAACACACTAACACCCCATGGCTAAAACAAAATTAAATGACATATTAATATTACACATTAATTGTTTATATTTTTACATCTCAGATCTCCATGTTTGTCTATCTAGATCATTGGAGCCAAATAGGAGGGCATTTTCAAGTAGGCAAAACCTCGTTGCGAGAGCTTGCATCAGTATGGAGGTTGATATATCTTTGAGCCCTAGAGTGAATTCAGTGAAGCCTTCAAAAACAGTTGCCATAACCGATCAAGCAACTGCTTTAGTGCAAGCTGGAGTGCCTGTTATTAGATTGGCTGCAGGGGAACCTGATTTTGATACTCCTGCTCCAATTGCAGAGGTATTTAACTCTTTCCTTTGCTCGATAGTCGCTTAGATTTTGAATAATTATCTTTACTAATGTGATTATAAATGCTTTGTATGTTTACACTTCCTTGTGTACTTGTTATGTACGTGTTGTTTAAATCTCACTACTTGAAGATCTTTATAAGGCGGGTTAGGCCAAATTTATCATGATACCATTGTATCAAAATCTTGTCTAACAGTGGTTTGTAGAGTGCCTTCCAGTTTTGTTGTTTGGGGCTACCCATTTAGGGGTCAGTTTAGGCCTTATTTGTCCATCCCTTTCAAGCCTACTGAGTTTGCATTTGGGGTGAGTTATGCCATATTCAACATTATTCACCATTTTATCTTGTGCACCTAGGCTGGTATTAATGCAATCCGTGAAGGGTACACTAGGTATACACCAAATGCAGGAACTTTAGAACTTCGTTCAGCTATTTGTCATAAGTTGAAGGGTAATTTCGTCATCCCTGATTTTGTTCATAATCTAGAGCAATCTTTTCATTTCCCTTTCTTGATATATTTTCAAAATATAGAGGAGAATGGGATATCTTATACCCCTGATCAGATTTTGGTAAGCAATGGGGCTAAACAAAGTATTCTTCAGGCAGTCTTAGCAGTATGTTCTCCGGGAGACGAGGTATCATTAAACGTCTATCATTCTCTATTTTGGTGAAGCAAAAAGTTTTTTCTTCATTCATTTGTATAAAAATCCCACAGGTTCTAATTCCAGCACCGTTCTGGGTTAGTTACTTGGAAATGGCAAGGTTGGCAGATGCAAACCCTGTGATAATTCCTACTAACCTATCAGATAATTTTATAATGAATCTGGGGCTTTTGGAGTCCAAGCTCACCGAGAAGTCAAGGCTCTTGATTCTTTGCTCTCCATCCAACCCAACAGGATCTGTCTATCCCAAGAAAGTGCTTGAAGACATTGCTAAGATTGTGGCAAGACATCCAAGGCTTTTGGTAACACTCACCCTCATCTTCAACATTACACCCTCATCTTCAACATTATGCTATGAAAATGCTAATCTGTTCACGATATTAAAAATTTGCTCTCTCTCTCTCTCTCCCAGGTGCTTTCTGATGAAATTTATGAGCACATTATTTATTCACCAGCAACTCATACAAGCTTCGCCTCTTTGCCAGGAATGTATGAGAGGACTCTCACAGTTAATGGATTTTCTAAGGTGGACTATTTGTGTTGTTTTTTTTCTTTGGGGGGTGGGGTGGGTTTTTGGCGTTGCTAAAGTGGGGTTTCTTACAGGCCTTTGCCATGACTGGTTGGAGACTGGGTTATATTGCAGGTCCTAAACATTTTGTTGCTGCATGCAATAAAATCCAGAGCCATGTATGTTATATGCTTGAATCATGACTTTCACCATATAATCTTTTTGAATAAGATTTCATAATTTGTTCAATCCAATTTATATTTTCTACTGCTATATAAAATAGTCCACATCAGGGGCCAGCAGTATTGCCCAAAAGGCAGGTCTTGCTGCTTTAGGGCTGGGCTATGCTGGCGGAGAAGCCGTTGCAACAATGGTAAAAGCCTTCCGTGAGCGACGAGATTTCCTCGTCAAAAGCTTTGGGGAAATAGAAGGCGTCAAGTTTTCAGAACCTCAGGTAACATCTCGCGCTTTGCATGTTGAGGAATATCCCAAAACCTTATATGTTGAGGAATAATCCAAATTGATAAATGTTTATTCTTGTCTTCATGCTTAGTAGTTAATATACTCCGTACATGGTGGCTCGTTTTATCAAATCATTCTTAAAATCACTATTTATTGTAAGATTAAAACTTCCTATCTTAAAGTGGCAACCTTATGAGAAAAGTAACTCAAGGCCTTACAAGCCACACTATCCGTAGTCCCGTAACTCTTTTTTATCCTTTGATCTTCATATTGACCTCCTCCTGTTTGCAGGGTGCTTTCTATTTGTTTATCGACTTAAGCACTTACTACGGGACAGATGTTGCTGGATTTGGCATCGTGAACGATTCAGAGTCCATGTGCCGTTATTTGCTAGATAAAGCTCAAGTAAGATGTGACCATATTATGACCCTTCTCCTAGATTTATGAATCTAGACATACAACAATAACAACAACAACCGAGTATAATCCCCCAACTCCGTTGGGATTTGGGGGTTCAAGATTTACACAATCTTACTCATGTAAAAACAGAGAGGCTGTTTACGTTAGACCCTAGATGCATTGCTGCATTTATTACCCAAAAGTCCAAAACTTCTTAGAAAGTAAGAAGCAAGAGAAGTTTAATGCTTCATTTTGCTAAAGTTGAGTTTTTTATTTTTGGAACATGAATGAATCAAAACAGGTGGCTCTTGTGCCTGGTGGCGCCTTCGGAGACGACACGTGTATCCGAATCTCTTACGCAGCGTCACTCCCCTCATTGCAGGCGGCTGTCTCAAGAATCCGGAACGCATTGCTCTCTCTCAGGCCTGTTTGATTTACTGCTATCTCTTCCACATTCTTTTCTTGCACATTTGTGAGATTCTGTTGTTGTGTTGTAACTTGGCAATTTAAGATATGAACACTATGTTTCTCCATAATGTCTTACGTGTATTAAATTGAGCTATGTTTCTCCATAAACAATTTTTAATTTATAAGCTGCTTATATGCTAAATATTCTTTCATGGATGTAAAATGATTTAAATGATATGCGGAGTATAAATCATTTGGGTATATTCATAAAAGGTGAGAGATTATTTTGCACATAATCTGGTCAAAACGGGGAAACAAAAAAACCGATTTAAAAATAGGTAGGTGAGACCTATTTTTTTCTGACTTATAAACAACTTATAAGTCAATTTATAAGCAAAGAGAAACACACCATTATAAAACATTGTTCCCAAACAAATGTGTGATTTTTAGCTAATTCTTAACGAAGTTTTAAGAACCAATTTATTAGAACTAGATGTAAAATGTCATGATAAATTTGACAATACATAAGAAAAATGTCAGGTGAAGAAAATTGGCTTATGAAAACAAATTAAACAAAACGTAATACATTTGCTTAAAGCATGTTAAAATATGGGTTGATTGATTTCTTCCAAAACAATCTTGAATTATTGTAAAATTATAAGATAATAATTTACGAGTTAATATCTTTTAATGATGCAAAGAGTTTCACAAAACAATAATTCAATCCAAAGATAAAAATATTTCAAGGAAAAATCATCTTAAATATTCCTACCTTTTCGCGTTCTTTTAAAAATAATTTCATTTTTTATGGTCATGGAAAATAATGTCACCATTCCTCATTTGTGCGAGTTTTGGGTCGCTGTTAGGATGGTAATGATTTTTTGACAGAACTTTTAGAAAATACTCTCTCTGTCTCATTTTAAATTGCATGTTTTCTTTTTTTCTTTGTCCCAAAATAAGTTGCTTGTTTCTTGTTATCGTAAACTTTTAAAAGTAAAATACCTAAATTACCCCTAAAATAAGTCACTCTTCTCTACCTTATCTTCTCATTCATCGTCACCCCTCCTAAAAAGTAATGACAATTTCGAAAAGTCAACTCTTTTTTTCTTTTCCTTAAATATGCTCCAAAATCAAAACGGGCGATTTAAAATGAGACGGATGAAGTACATGTTTTTCACAAATAAATGAAAGTAGAGATTATTTTAGGTAAATTACTTTTTTGTTTTTTTAATTTTAAATTTAAATGTTTTTTAAAATATTTTTATAAATAGGACCAATTAAAGTTTTTTTTCCAGAGTGACACTAATTATTTTTTCAATAGTTGATAATCTGGTAATAAATGTTTTTTCCAAAATAATATTACAAAAGTTGTGAAATTGCACAATAAACCGTCTACAAAATGGAAATAATCTATTATTTAAAAACAATGATTAGTGTCACTCTAGAAAAAACACTTGAATTTGATACGGAGTATTATTTATAAAAACATTTTTAAAAATACATTGATAATTAAAATTAAAAATTTAAAAGCAAAAAAGAGAATCTGGTAATAATTCTTTTTTCGAAAATAAAATTACATAAGTTGTGGAATGATTTACACACAAACACAAACAAATTACGGGACACACTACTTACACAAACAAATGATGTAAATAACACTGACTTCTCAATTTTTGATATCCTCCTATATACAATGCTAAGATGAGATTGTTGTTGGGAAATTTAGCACAAAACTTCTCACGCAACAAAAGGAACAAACTAGTAGTCGATCGAAGAACAAAGAAATTGCAAGTCGAAAAAAACAGAGATGAGACCAAAGATTATTAAAACCAGAAAAACCCTCTTTACAGAGGTAAAACCACCACTATAATCCTTGACAATTAAGTACAACTTAATTGTCAAGGATTACAACACCAATTCTAGACCCACATAAAATATTTTGGCACAAAGAAAAATCCCTAAAATATTGTTTGAAAAAAACAAGTTGTACAACCTCTCTCATAAAAGAGCACACATGGCTAGAATTTTTTTTCTTTCTTTTCTCTTGCTCGTGCCAGCCCCACCACACCTTTTTCCAAAGCCTATGTAAGGCTTTAAATATAAAAGAAAAAACATTAAATTAAAGCCAAGCTCCCACGTAAGACAAATGAAGAGCCTCCCAAATGTAATAACTCCCAATCACCACATTTGTCTTTCCAAATGCTAATTCATGCACCTTAAAAAAACAACTTGGACTGGACAAATTTTGGGAAATAGTCCCAACAATCTCCCCCTCGAGCCCAAGTGTGTTCGGCAAGAACCTAGAAGCCATGAACCATTGTCGCCTCATCCACGAACGAGACACGACGACTACTTTTATGATTTGAGCCGCTTTTAGCCGTATGACCCACCATACGATACAAACCGTGATCTAGCTCCCCCTTGATCACAATTGTGCTACCCTTAGTCACTCTAACAACTCCCCCGCGAGCCTTGTACTCGTACCCCTCGGAGTCCAATTGACTAAGTGAGATGAGATTCCGCCGCAACTTGGGAACGTACGCCACATTACCCAAAGTCCTCACCACCCCATTGAACATTTTCATTTTCACCACTCCAACACCCATGACCGCCACCGTCGAGTTATCCGCTAACCTCAAAATCTTAGTCATGCCTTCCTGAAGTGTCTCAAAATGTTCCTTCCTTGAGCATATGTGACTCACACATGCAGAATCAAGCACCCAATCATTGCCGGAAGCTTCATCATAACCGTTAGCGACCATGAACAACTCGTCACTTTCATTTCCGAGAGAACTACTACCAGTCTCTCCATCTCGAACCAAGTTGGCATCATTTTTCCCCTCACGCTTCTTAGGACAATCCCTCCTAATATCCCCGAGCTCGCCACACTTGTAACAACGCACCTCGTTCTTAGGTGCGTTCTGGGACTTAGACCTTCCGTGCTTTGATTTGTAGTCCCTAATAGACGAACGACCTCTCCCACCACCATGAGCAATTGCTGCGACTGCATCGTCACTCCGCACCCCAGCTTTGTCTTTCCTCCTTGCATCAAACGACAAGAAAGCTAATTGTGCCTGCTCCAAGCTAATCGTGTCCTTGCCGCACAATATGGTATCCGCATAAACCTCATAGGAAACTGGGAGAGAATTAAGGAGAAGCAATGCCTGATCCTCCTCACTGATTTTAACATCAACCTGTTTCAGCTCGTCTATTAAACCATTGAACACATTCATGTGTCCAACCAAGGTGTCCTCATCCTCCATCTGCAACCGATACAACCGCCTCTTCAAAAGAAGCTTGTTGGTCAAGCTTTTTGCCATGTACAGCTTTTCCAACTTCTCCCATATCGCCACCGGAGACTCCTCGTCAATAACACAATTAACGACAGAGTCTGCAATGCACAACCGGATGGTACTGACACACTTCTCGCACAACTCCTGCCAATCATTGTCACTCATTTTCTCCGGCTTCGCCTCATCTCCTTTAAGGGCTCTAGACAAACCCAAATGCACAAGGAAATCCTTCATCCTTCTTTGCCAAAGAGTGAAGCTACTCTTTCCATCGAACTTAGGCACGACAAAGTGAGACCCCGAACCCGAACTCAACATCCTCGAAAACTACTAGAACCACCAGAACCTAACCCGAAAGCTTTGATACCACTTTGTTGGGAAATTTAGCACAAAACTTCCCACGCAACGAAAGGAACAAATTAGTTGTCGATCGAAGAACAAAGAAACCGCAAGTCGAAAAAATAGAGATGAGACCAAAGATTATTGAAACCGGAAAAAACCCTCTTTACAGAGGTAAAACCACCACTATAAAAATAGTGCAAGTACAACTTAACCGTCAAGGATTACAACACCAATCCTAGACCCACATACAATATTTTGGTACAAAGAAAAACCCCTAAAATATTGTATGAAAAAACAAATTGTACAACCTCTCTCATAAAAGAGCACACATAGCTAGAATTTTTTTGTGAAATTTGCACTAAATAGGACTAAAACATAATGACTTTCCCAATGTAGGATTTAAACTTTTTTATTCCCTAAATAGGACTTAATAATGACCTAGTGGAGGAATAATGTCCAGTAATGATGGACATTTACTTGAATAATGACTACGTTATAATGACCAAAGGTCATACATTGGGAAATAAAAACATATGGTCTTATATTAGGAAAGTCATTATGTTTTAGTCCTATTTAGGTAAATTTGTCATTTTTTTTCTTTCTTTTCTCTTGCTCGTGCCAGCCCCACCACACCTTTTTCCAAAGCCTATGCAAGGCTTTAAATATTAAAGAAAAAGCATTAAATTAAAGCCAAGCTCCCACGTAAGACAAATGAAGAGCCTCCCAAATGTAATAACTCCCAATCACCACATTTGTCTTTCCAAATGCTAATTCATGCACTTTAAAAAAACAACTTGGGCTGGACAAATTTTGGGAAATAGTCCCAACAATTGTGAACTGTGTTCCCGCCTATTTTACCACCTTCATTTGGGCCGGTTTCGGGCCTGATATTGCTGGACTGAATTTGGGCTATCTTTTGACGGCTATCGAATAGGTCTCTTTTAGTATTGTCAAATCAACTTTATATGGGTTGTCCAATTGGTGGTGCTTTACTCCATGATGTGGTGCGTTGCTCCATAAAGTAAAGTAATGGTACTTTATGGAGCAAAATGTCAAGCTTTAGATCAAATCAATTAGATAAATAAATTTGCATAATCCAAGCATTTAATGTGTAGGTAATTAGTTCATTCGCTAGGTATTATATATAAACTTTTTTGAGCAGTATAATAAGCCACTTCGTTTAACAACCCTATTTGAAATTTCGTATTTATGGCTCAAATTTCTCAAAAGAGTTCAAAGACAATGTTTACTCTGAGTTTAAAGGTCTTGATGGGTAGTGTATTGATATGGAATCGCGTGCTTTATAAAGTTGGTGTGTGACTCGATGCAAACTTTATATCAAATCAAAATAAATAAATGGGTAGTGTGTTAATATGGACTGCGTGCGTAGTAATGTTGGCGCGTGGCTCGATACAAACTTTATGTCAAATCAAAATAAATAAATGGGTACTGTATTGCTATGGATCCCCATACGTAGTAAAGTTGGTGCGTGACTCGATGCAAATTTTATATCAAATTAAAATAAATATATGGGTAATTTATTGATATGGAACCACGTGCATAGTAATTTTGTTGCATAACTCGATGCAAAGTTTATGTCAAATCAAAATAAATAAATGGGTAGTGTGTTGGTATGGAACCGCGTGCGTTTTAAAGTTGGTGCGTGACTCGATGCAAACTTTATGCCAAATCAAAATAAATAAATGGATAGTGTATTGATATGGAACCACGTGCGTAGTAATGTTGGTGCGTAGCTCGATACAAACTTTATGTCAAATCAAAATAAATAAATGAGTAGTGTATTGCTATGGAACTGCGTGCGTAGTAAATTTGGTGCGAGACTCGATGTAAATTTTACGTCAAGTCAAAATAAATAAATAAATGACTAGGGTATTGATATGGAACCGTGCGTTATAGTGTTGGTGCGTGGGTCAATGCAAACTTTATGTCAAATCAAAATAAATAAATGAGTAGTGTATTGATATGTAACTGCGCGCGTAGTAAAGTTCTTGCATGACTCGATACAAACTTTATGTCAAATCAAAATAAATAAATGGGTTGATGTGTTGCTCGATGTGTTGATGTGTTGCTCGATGCAAACTTTATATCAAATCAATATAAATAAATGGTTATTGTTTTGCTATGGAACCGCGTGTATAGTAAAGTTAATGCATGACTCCATGCAAACATTATGTCAAATCAAAATAAATAAATGAGTTGTGTATTGATATGAAACTGTTTGCGTAGTAATATTGGTGCGTGACACGATGCAAACTTTATGTCAAATCAAGATAAATAATTAGGTACTACCTCCGTTTCTCAAAAGAGTTCCTCTTTTGACTTTGGGAGAAAATAAGGAAGTGTTAAATTGTAGTTGACTTTCCAATTTTGCCCTTGATGTGATGGGTAAAAGTAAGATGTGATAGTTTAGTTGTTAGTGAAAAAGTATGATGTGATAGGTAGGGTATGAAAAAGTAGGGGTAAAAGTGGTTTTTTAATAGAAAGGGGAAGTGTTTTAAGAAAAACAAAAAAAATGAAAGAGGAAGGGTTTTAAGAAACGGAGGGAGTAGTATATTGCTTTGGAACCGCGTGCGCAGTAAAATTGGTGTGTGGCTTCATACATACTTTATGTCAATACATATTAAATGAATAGATTCACTCTATCAAGACATTTAATGGGTAGATTGATTGTTCAATTAATATACTACTTAGACTCCAAACATTTCATATCTCTCATCCCAATTCGGCCCACTTTCAAAAAATATCTCAATACATTCAAAGAGTATGTGAAATGTGCTTGTCAATATTGGCAATAGTCGAACCACTTGGATACTTATGTTACGAGTCATTCGTGTCTACTTTGTTCTGGCTTGGACAAGAGGAGGAGATTCGATGAAAGTGAGCTTTCATGATGAACATGTATTATATTCACAATTTTTTAATATTTGATTATATGTTATTATTATAATTTAATTATAATTTAATTTATCATTTTCTTTCATCAATGCTTTTCCTAAGAGACGACCAGAGTAGTTTATAATTAGACCGTGCAACGGACGAGTACGCGTCTAGATCAACCCTTAGCCATGAAAAAAATAAGGTCTAGTACTTTTTTTTACATGTGATTAAAAAACTCAAAACTAATCCTATACATAACCATACAAATTCGGAGATTAATTTCTTCACATGCTTAATTCCTTTTAAAAAAATCAATTAAAACTGCCATAGTTCCAAAGAAAATCATCACGCATCACATTTACTTTAATCCTTCAATTACAAATGCAATTAAAGAAAAAAATTGGAACATAGTCTTTCAGATTTTAGACGGTTCATCATCAAAAAATCCAGTGCTATACAATTACAATGTAAAAAAAAAAAAAAAAAAATCCTCGACGTGTGTACATTAATCAAAAATGCATTTCTGAGAATGTTTCTTAAAACCCAACAGTACACCCATATTCAAAACCACAATTTCAACATCAAATGGAGCAGACTATGGCCATGAATTCTAAGACAGTTTCATTTTCCTATGTATAAAAACCAAGCAAAACCCCAACCAAAAAACCTACCTGAATCTTCTCCAACCTTTTGCTAAGCGGAATCTTGTCCAGTGCATCATCGTTTGACGTCGAAAGCCTTCCACTGCGTCTCCCTCCCGAAAGTACTGGTTCTGGATTCTCACTTGTGCTCGACGTTCTTTTTTGGTTAATACCAAATCAAGAATCCGGGAGTTCCGCTTCCAGGCATTATTTACAGTGAATTACCTAGTTTAATACTCCCTCCGTTCCAAAAAGTCTTTCCTGTTTCATTTTTTGGGCATCCCATAAAACACTTATATCCCGTCTTGAATGCCAAAATAACTTCTACCCACAATAAAGAAGAAATGTTGTAAATTTTAGACATTTTAAATGTCAGTAGAAGTGTTTTATGGGATGCGCAAAAAATGAAACAGGAAAGACTTTTTGGAACGGGATGGAGTATTTTAAGTTTAATGAAGGACAGAGATGGGATTGCAGCCACACGTCACTTCCAAGATCCTATATTGGGTATTACTCCTTATAACACTATCTTAGTGCTCTATATTACGGGTACTTCACCCATTACCATTTTTTCTCTCTTCCCTCGATAACTTTGTTTATTTCTGGTTTTCATTGAGTATTTGATAAAAAAATATTCTTGTCACCTCTAATTTTCTAAATTTTTTGATGCAATTTTTAAATATTTTTTAGAAAATATTCTTGTCACATCTCATTTAAATTTGAAGTAAAGTTTTAGATTATTTATAATTATTTAAAAGAATATCATGTAAGCAAAGTGTTTAATAAATATTTAAGAAATCACAACCCTAAATTGGAGCAAAACATAGAGAAAGAGCTCATATTGTGGTACTTTCTTTATGTTTTACTTCTATTTAGATTGATTTCTTAGACGATTATTAAATATTTTATTTACATGATATTCTTCTAAATAATTATAAATAATTAAAAACATTACTTTTAAATTTAAAAAATTAATTTTTTTTATTTTAAGCATTATATTGTCATCTTACAAAATTTAAAATATATTTCCATAATTAATGTGTTTTTATTTCAAAAATGGATCAATTTGACAAAACACATAGTTAGAAAGTACCATTTTGAAAAAGTAGTATAAGGTTTAATGTCATTTTAACGGCTATTATTCAGAGAATTGAACTGAACATTATTTTTAATTAATGAACATCATTTTAGGAATTAGTTAATTTTGAAAACAAATTTGTTGAATACCAAAATCATTTCGAAAATTTAATTCAAAAAAAAAAACAGTAATCAAGACTTCTCTCATACTCTCACAAGGTCACAAATGGCAGAAACACTTCGAATCATATTCTTCAATTCCCTCGCCCCAGGATATCTTTCTTCTGCTCGCCGCCGAACTTATTTTCCGGCCACCCGTCTTCCATTTACCAGCAATTACCCGTTCAGAATCCAAACCGGTCCAACACTCGCCCGAAACTGCCACACCATTGCTGCAACTCCGATTAGAGCTCAAAGCCAATCATTTCAGGTCAGTTTCTCAATAAGACCTGGGCATATCAACTGAACTTGGCATAGTTTTCAAAAAACAAAAACTGAATTTGGTATCTACTGAAAACAATGATGGAGTCTTTCAGGGAAATGGAAGTGGGAGCCATTTTCCAGCAAAAGACAGCAATTGGACTGCACGGGTTTTGAAATTTGCATCCAATAATTTTCTTCCAATAGGTAATCAGGATCAATGGATTTGGTATTTGATATTCTTCCAACAGCTTATATGCTTGCGTGTTGCAAACTTCAATGCGATTGGAGCAACCGAGCAAATGCTAATGGGGAATCTTTAACCTAATTGATTACAAATTCTTTTCATTTGTTGTGAGGTGATAGGAAAACAATTTTCTTCATCGCATCCAAAGTTTCTAGTAATTTGAAGTTTTTGAGTATATGAGTGGCATTTTTATAGCAATCGTTCTTAATCACAAAGTCATATTTTAAAGCAACGTTTATCTAGTGGAAGAAGTAATGAAAAAGGAGGAAGTCAATGAAAGAGTCTCTCTACTTCCGAGTATGAGTAAGGTCTAAGTATACACACCCTTCCCAGACCCTACTTTTTGTGGAAATTTTACTGGGTTTTAAAGGAGTTTGGTGTTACTATATATTGGATTGGAAATGAAGTATATCTTAGTTGGACTAGAAAAAGAGAGTGGCACTTGAGAAAGGTAACCATGGAGATTTGTAATTTTGTATGCATTTCTTTTTTGATGTAGCTAATTTAAGCAGTAAGGCATTGAGGTTGTCCCACTAATATTTTAAAAGATGAAGCCTGTTTAGTAATTACGGTGTGGATGAACCTTTCTAATGATACTCTGGTTGGCTACTTGGCTCTCCTTAATACGATACAAACATAAATTTTCATTGTGTTGCAAGCCCACTAGAATGGTATCTAGCGAACCTAACAACACGACCACAGTTTTCACGGATTCATTAAGTACCCAATTCCTTTAAAATCGTTGAATGAGTGACCTCATCGCACAAGGTGTTTTTACCAAGGTTCTCGTAACGCATACATGTGCATCCTAGGTTAGTAATCTCTTTCTTGAGATCCAAGATTTGCGAGATCTAAGAGAACTCTTAATATTTGAAAATTCTGAATTATATAGCAAAGGTAACCTAAGTAGGTCACAAAACTGGGAATATTTGTTTTCCTATGAATCCTACTTCATCTGTCCAAAAATTAAGTGCCCACTTTCTTTTTTGGAACTTCTCAAAATAAAGTTATCATTCATTTTAAAGAAAGATTTTTGCGGTTCATATCATTTTTCACTCCTTTGCATAAATCCCAACCATACAATTTTTCATTTTCTTCAACTTCACTACGTGAATTTAAGAAAATAGTGCTACATTGGATGGTTGGAACGACCTTTTGAAAACTCTGAGATCACGACTGGACTCATGAGTAGGCATATGCAGGTCTGATAAGCAATGAAAAGGAATCAGTCTTGTTGTTTCAGTTTGTGGAAACTTTTTTTCTGTATTTGTAGATGCATGATTGCTTAGTACTGTGTACAGCTCTTGTATGTGGAGTAGCACTTGGATTAGCAAATCCTAGCCTTGGGTGTCTTGCGGAAAGATATCATCTATCCAAGCTTAGCACTTTTGGGATATTCATTATATCAGGTAATACTTTAGTGGTCATATTATATTTTTTTTTTTCATATGGTCATATTGCTATTGAAATTTTATATACCTTGTTTTGATACAGGTCTAACACTCCGTACAGAAGAAGTTGGTGCTGCTGCTGAAGCTTGGCCAGTTGCACTGTTTGGTCTAGTATGAACTTCATTCTTGTGTACCAATGTAGTTTTTGTCTCTATTGCTCCATTTTTTTACCTGCAATTGCACACTCCATTTGTTCTGATCTTAGTTCTTAGCCATTGACCTTCGTAGGTAATTTTCCTACTCGCTGGCTTTTAATTTTTACCTGCTGCTACTTAAAGAATATCATGGAATGCATTTATTCTCCATTGTTATATAAATAGCTGATTTGCCTTTCAAAGCATTTGTTAAGTGTGTATGACTGTGTGTATGTGTGTGTGTTTCTATACACTAAAAAGGGTAGTCCGGTGCTCAAAGGATCCCCACTGTGTTTGCATACAATATGTTCATACTATAATCATATAGACACCGTGATTTCTGGATGATTCAGATTCCTCTGCTTTTTCGGGAAAAAGCTCTGCTATAGATTCTTATCCAGTCTGTTTTTTTGTCAGTGCTATCAATGACGGATGAACAAAATTTTGCCAAATGGCACTGCCACAACCCACCATTCTTTAGATATTCATCTGGTGTCCTGCTATATTTCTGCCATCACCATCTCATCCACCATAGACCATCATAATCTGCCATCCTTTGTTTATTTGTTTGTTTATACAGCTTTCAACTGTGATATTTTCGTATTTCCTTTTATGTTTTTAGATGAATTAGTTATTTGGTTTTCCTCACCAAGGATATGACCTAAGACCGGAGTGTTTGGAGAGATAGAATTAGGATAGTTGGGTAGTATGGCGGTAGCTTTTGTGCTTAAAAATGTCTGGTTCATTTTTCTTATCTTTCTTTGCCTACTTTATGTTTATTTCTGTGTGCTCTACTCGAGCTGGGGGTCTCTTGGAAACAGCCTCTCTACTTCCGAGTAGAGGTAAGGTCTACGTACACACACCCTCCCCATACCCTACTTCCGTGGGATTCTACTGGGTTGTTGTTGTTGTCGTTATTTGGTATTCCTATTAATCCAGACATCTATTTTGTTGTGTGATTGTTTTTGTCAGTTCTGTGCTTCTATTAATGCAGGCTTCTATTTTGTTCATCACACCTCTATTTTCAAAGATTCTTTTGCTTCTTAGGCTTCAGCCTCAAGAATTTATCACAGGTTAGAAAGATAAATTTTCATTTAAGATGAACTCTACTCTTATTAAAGCTGACAATCAGATCATTATAGGGAATTATTTGATGTAATAGAAAGTGTCATGATGCTTGACTAAAGGGGCATAAAACTTCTGGCTATTTTTAATGCAATGGTCATCTTTGGTATGTACTTTGTACAGGTTTGGCTATATTTTGCTGCATGCCAACTACACTATCTAGTGGAGTGGCTCTAACACGGGTATGTGGGAATTACTCAGATGCAGTAGTAGTTGTTGTTTCTAGGGATGACAATTCAAACCCACCCGCCTGCCCGCCATGTTTGGGCATCAGCTAAGATGTACGGCAACTTTACCCTTGTCAAAAACAGAGAGGCTGTTCTGCTAAACCCTTGATGTATTGGTGATTTGGTGCATATAGTGCCCAAAATTTCCTAAAAGTTAGAAACAAGGGTGAAATGTAGAATTAAGTATACAATACAGAGCATTAAATATCACTTAGTGATAAAGTATACATCAGATATAACATCACAATAAGTTTATACACCATAGAAATGTTGTGAATATGATTATAAATACGAGCATTATTTTTATTGAATGTTTAACTTCCTGTAGAACATATTTAGGATTTTAGTTTGTACAAATACATGAAAGTATTATATACGCAAGTACTATTAAATAGCATTAGTTATTTTTTTAATCTAATTGTTTACCCGTAGGTCATCCAACCCCTTCTCAAGATGGTCTGGCCTGCATTATTAGGCACCCGCCCTGCCCCACCCCATTGCTATTCTTAAGTTTTCTTTATTGGTTGTAATTTTTAAAAACTACAATGCAGCTGGCTGGAGGAAATTCTGCCCTTGCTCTTGCAATGACAGTAATCTCAAGTATCACTGGAATCCTAATTGTATGTAACTACACTGTTATGTGATGCTATGTCAAAAAGCTTACTGTTATGTTCACTTGGATAAATGTCTTATGCTGTCCAATGTGATGCTAGATACCTTTTTCCATCTCAAAGCTCATTGCCACAGGAGTGGGTGTATCTGTCCCGACTGAACAGTTGATGAGAAGCCTTGTTCTCACCCTCTTGGTTCCTCTTATCGTCGGGAAGGTGTCTTTCACTTTGAAGAAGCAAATTTTATGAAAACTCTTAAATTCAACAATGATATTTCCATATATATGCTTTAGTTAACCTTTTTTGACTAACTCATTTACCTCATTGTAAATAAAAGCACATACAATTTTTCATTGAAGAAGTATCTGATCATACCCATCAAACTTATTTAACAGTTAATGAGCCATGAAGGCCTCCATCCATTCATATTTACTTTCTTTTAAAGCACTGACAGTTATTGCCCTATATTACCTGTGTTCAAAGTTCAAAGCACTGATGGATTCTTTTTCTTGATCCAACAGGTTTTCCGAGAAATTTTCAAGAGTGAGTTGTTATATTTTCTCAAATATGGAATGCTTGTACTTTTCTTCTAATTTCTTGGTCCAACTAGTTTTTACTTATTCTCTGTGTTGTTGCATTCATGGTGTACGCTAGAATATCAAACCGTATTATGGATTTTCTTATGCCTAAACCAGGAACTTCATTAATCCAATTATGCATTCAATCAAGTAGCTGTTACCATAAGTTACTACTAGTAGCATTTGCTAAGTTTACAAAAAAAATCTATGAACTTCACTTTTCCATATAAACATTTATACCCTGTTTATAGAACACCGAACTGTGATGTATACTTTTGTAATGCAGGCTTGGGAGAATTTGCTGATCAAAATCGTAAGCTCCTGTCTGTGACAAGTGCAATGCTCCTCAGTTTGGTAAGACCAAGATTTGTCTAATTTCACACTCTTCTTCCCGAAGTACACAAAGTATTCTGAGTCTCTTACATATATCTAATGTAAAATTACTAGTGAGGAAGCTACCATTCGAGATCATCATATATCTTGGAAAATTATGAGTTCTGTTAATGAAAGTATGAAACAAGAGTTCCTAATTCCTTTTTTTCCCACTAAGCAGGCCCCATTTATACAAGTGAGTAGATCAAGATCACTGCTCTTACTGGTTAACCCAGCTGCTTTTTTCATAGCAGTGGTCTTGGGAGCGTAAGCATACTTTCCTCTCAATTAACCCAATGGGTTTGTAAGGTTTCTACCTTGTGTGCACTTTTAGCTCTTTTGGTTAAGGGTGGCAAATGGCTGTACTTGATAAATTTTTTATTTTAGTGGTAATAGATGGATTGAAAGTAATCCATTTGTGATCCATTAAAAAAACAATCCATCCATGATCTATTAAATGTAGAGTAAAATTCGTCCAATCCATCCATTGATAATTTTTTTCCACAGATCTCCAATCCATCTATTGACCCCTTTAACGGATGCATTGACCTTTGGGTACAAATGACTAATTTCCCTCCTTGTATTGTTCAATAGAGGCAGGGGGAGGGGACAATGGACAAAGGAATTGGGGGGGATAGGAAAGCGGAGGTCGTTAATAATACTCCGAGTATTATATTTGATACAATTCTTGTTAATAATCAGCAACAACAACAACCCAGTTGAATCCCACGAGAGTAGGGTCTGGGGAGGGTGTGTGTACGCAGACCTTACCCCTACTCGAAAGTAGAGAGGCTGTCTTGTTAGTAATCAATAAGCTTTCAATTTTGGTAAAACAAAAGTGAAAAAAAATTGGGGTGGGGGCGGGGACTCCTCAAAATCTGTAGTATTTCATGATGAGTTTGGAGAATTTTATAGCTCCTCCACTTCTCCTTCTCCCCTAACTCCCCTGTTAATACTTCCCACATCGGAAAAGTGTGAGAAAAATAATCGGTATATAAGTTCTTGAGTTAAACTAACTAATCGATTGGATTCAATCTTTTAATATAGTTCAACCCAAGTGTCTTATTACCCCATTCAGTTTTCTCTATCCAATTTTAAATTCTATCATGGTATCGGAGCAGATTTTGGCCCACCTCGTTTGTCAAGGTGTCCGTCTAGACGTTCATTCCTAGCGGCCCGTTTGTCTTTAGCCCAGTTATCCGTATAGAGTATGTACTCAACGGCCTGTGGCCCGTTTAACACGATTGCTCGTCTGGAAGTTCATACCCAACAGCTCGTGGTTCTTTAGGTGTTGGCACTCAAAAAATAGTCAAGGGAATGAGAGTTCATTTGCAAGTGGTCAACCGGTTAGATTAAAAATGGCCCGGTTGTCCATTTGAGGGGGAGTGTTAAGAGTATCCCACATCGGAAAAGTGTGAAAAAAATAATCGGTATATAAGTTCTTGAGTTAAACTAACTAATCGATTGGATTCAATCTTTTAATATGGTTCAACCCAAGTGTCTTATTACCCAATCCAGTTGTCCATACCCCATCCTAAATTCTATCATCCCCAACCAAACACACGCAACTTCCACACTTCACCTTCAAAATGACCCATCCTAGCAATGGTTTATGAAGGTTTGTTCTGTGATTTTTTCCCCATTCTGCAGGCTCCTCCATGCAATTTTATTTACTTTTAATGCTCTCGCGGTAAAAATTCTCTCTACCATCTCTGGTGGCTCCAAATCAGCTTTCGCGAAGAAGGAAAATGCCAGTGCCCTCTTACTTGTTGCAAGCCAGGTGAAAATACAGTTTTGCTAGATTGGCTCTTAGTTTCATCTCACTATGGCAGGCCATGTTAACTGTGGTGTAATCTAGCATGCTATTATTACATGTTGAAGTATATAAAATACTCCCTCCACCCCTTGAAAAACTTCAACTCTTCTTAGTTCTCTCTTAAACTCTGCCTTTTCTTTAGGGTGTGTTTGCTTGTAGAGGTGAGAACAGAGAGTGATTCCCTCCCCTTGTTTGGTTCAAAATTTTTTTGTATGCGAGACCCAAAATTTTCCCTCCCATCAAAATGTTGATGAGAAGAGAAAATTCCTTTTGGGACCAACATAAAGAAAACATTTTGATCCAAACGAGGAGGGAATCATTTTTCCTACCCTCCCTCCAACCTAACACACTTTTAAGGAAATAAATATGTGATTGAATAAATCTCAACACAATACCAACCTCTCAAACTCCGTGCTTCCCAATCATCATTGGGCTCATGCCCATTATTTCTCTGTATAAGCATCATAACAGTCTTTTAAGAAATTATGAAGTAGCAAGTCAAAAGTCGTATCGATGAAAGTAATAGTTTTATTATTTTACGATAGAAAACCTTGCCAGTCATGGTAGCAGTTGTGGAACAGCTTGGTGGAGCATTGGGTGCACCTGGCCTGCTGGTTCTTCCCTGTGTAGCAGCCCATTTGAACCAGGTTGGTTGTTCAATGTTCACTTCTCTTCTCCAAACAAACAAAAAAAGAAAACCCATTTTTTATGTTTCTGGTTTACATATTGTTTATCTTTGGTGACATGAAAAAGACTGGTGCAGATAATCATGGATTCTTTTGTTGTCAACTTTTGGCAAAAGGATAGGACAACCTCCATTGCAAAGGATGCTTGAATAATTGAATTCACTGTAATTGTATTCATGTATGTGCTACAACAAGGCCGCGTTTGGTTATGAGCATATTGCTAAGCAATGTGCTCTTTTTTAATATAGCATTTTGAACAGAGCAATGCTGGGTTCACAAACAAAATCGTCACAAAATTCACAAACTTACCATTTATGGTTTAAATTTCCATTTAAACTTATTTCACATTACTTTATTTTTTATTGAAATTCACAAATAGTAAGTTTGTGAAATTTGTGATCATTTTATTTGTGAACCAAACATTTTCTCTTTTGAACAAAAGAGCATCTTGATCAGCTAATTGAGATATTTAGGTCTTGTGGAAACATCGGTTTTTCATTTAGTATTTTTGGTAATTTTGCAATGATATAGATTAATTTTGAAAATGGGTTTGGTAAAATTTGAAACAAGTCAAGCAACAATATGGTGAGGAAATTGCTAATTTCATGGGATGAGCATTTTTGAAAAGGAGTGTTTTCTATCAGCATTTATGTTCCTCCCACCCATTTGTTTGGAGCTAGGGTTAAACATGTTTTTGGACCAAAAACAAATTTTCCAAATTTTTTAAGCTAGAGGAATCAAAAACAAAATTTACTAATTTTAATGAGACTAAAAACATACTTAACCCGAAATATAGACCGTGGAATGGCTTTTTGAAAAAAAAGATACCTAGTAAATAAGTTAGAAATTTTTTAGAGGGAACAAAAGAACTTATTTATCTGTTGCAAACATTATCTTTCATTTCATTTATCTGTCACTTGAGGATGAAACAAATGATATTAATAATACTTGATTCGTCCCCAAATAATTTACACACTTTACTATTCAAAAATTGTGAAAATTTTTATTTATTTGTGATTTCATTGACTATTTAATATTTTTGCCACCTATTATTTTATAGAATTTTTGATATATTTTTTAAATATGTAAGTTTTAATTTTAAGTTATATACCAATTTTTAAATAAAATGAATTGAAAAAAATTAGAGTAGAATTTTACTTCGTTTTGCGTAAAGTGTAATTGATTTAGGGACGGAACGAATAACTTTTAATCATTAATTTGATGAAACGAAGAACTTACTATGCGTAGCACAAAAAGTCTTTGAAAAAGGAGATTTTAATATTTACTCCCTTCTACTCTCTCCAAAAACTCTTCTTGTTTTGTCTTTTTTATCAAAGAATAGCATTTTTTGACTATAAAGTGTGGGAAATGTATATTAAATTATATTATAAATTTAATATAATTAGATTCATATTAGGATATAGTTTTAATATACGGAGTATCAAATTTTTATACTTCCCTCGTCCCTAAATATTTCAATTCATTTTATTTACATATTGGTATAGAAATAAAAAATAAAATTTACATATCAAAAAACTACATGAAAAGTTCTTCGAAATAAGAGATGTCAAAAATATTTTATTTTATCAAATAAACAATGAAAACATAGAAATAAATAAAAGTTTCCGCGACTGCTGAAAAAAGCAAGTGTGACAAATATTTTGGTACGGAGGGAGTAATATTTAAGATAAAATAGTAGAGAATTTTTTTTCTCTAAGTCACTACAAGCTAGTCCGGTAAAAATTGTGTTTTGCAACTGGTAGTCATTTTGGAGAATCGAACATCGACAATGGAGGAGCTTAGAATCGGGAGGAGATACCGTTCCGTAAGGCGTCTTCCTCTCTACGTATGCTCTTCTTGACCTAATTTTTTTCCGAAATCGATTCGATTTTCGGCGTTCCATCCTTCCACTACTCTGCAGCTTGAATTCTTCATTTGGAAATCGATTCAGTTCTGAAATTCTGCTGCTATAAAGTGCTGCGTTTGGGTGATCTCCATGAATGGCTCCCGAATTATTAAGGAAAGCTCTATCGCACCGCGTTCTGGCAAGGTATTATTACTACTACTCTTCTCCACTCATCCCTGCCCAGAAACTGAGTTCAGGCAGAAATTACGCAGTTAAATTAGGTTCCTTTTATGAATGTGATAAGCTCAGTGAAACCCTGTGTTCTGGGGGGTATTTGGGTAGTGATATGAAGCTGGAGAAGTTGAGTTGGGGAGGATCGTCCCGCGATGTTTTGCTGAGGAATCTCGAAACCTCTCTGGTGCATCACAAGCTGGATGAAGCTTGGGACGCTTACAGCGATTTCAAGCGCCTATACGGTTTCCCTGACCGCTCTCTTGTGGCCAGATTGGTGACGGGATTGTCGTATTCGTCCGAACGCAGTTGGCTTAGAAGGGCGTGCGATTTGGCCATTTCGATTCAGGAAGAGAAATCGGGGTTACTTCACCTGGACTCGATGGCTAAGCTGACCCTGTCCTTAGCTAGAGCTCAAATGCCTATACGGGCATCTAAGGTTCTTAGACTGCTTCTTCTGAAGAGGAGGAGGTCACTGCCATGTAATGTGTTACAGATGATATTTCTTCATTTAGTGAAAACAAAGACCGGAGCGCTTCTAGCTTCGAACATTTTGGTTGAGATTTGTGACGCGATTCAGCAGTCCGATGCAAGCAAGCCTTCTGCTGCTGTGAGGTTCTGCAGAAAGCCTGATACCGTGATTTTCAACCTCGTTCTTGATGCTTGTGCGAGGTTTGGGTCATCTATCAAAGGCCAGACTGTTATTGAGCTGATGGCGCGAGTTGGAGTCGCAGCTGATGCTCAGACCATTGCATCCATTTCTTCTATTTACGAGACGAATGGGATGCGAGATGAAATGATGGAACTGAAAAAACATATAGATCGGGTCCCCTCTTGTACTCCTCGGTGTCACTATAGACAGTTCTACGAGAGCCTATTGAGCTTGCATTTCAAATTTGATGACATTGATTCTGCTTCTGAACTCATATCGGATATGTATTTGCCTCTCCAGAACCCAGATGAGAGGATGGAATCGGAGAAACCCTGCCAGGTCCCACTAGGAGGATCTCATCACATTAAGAACGGGTTGACGCTACGTGTTTCCCCTCACTTACTAGAGAAGGACACCGTCCTTCACTTGGGTACCTATCACAGGTTCGTCACGTGCGACAAAGAGGGGAGACTCATTCTCACCAACAAAGCACTCGCCAAGCTGATGCTGCAGTACAAGAGGTGTGAGAGAATTGCTGACATGTCAAAGCTTCTATGTAGGATCCAGTCGACACTAGATTCTTCTAGAAACATGGTTGACGATGTGGTTGACGTGTGTGTTTATCTCGGATGGCTTGAAACCGCACATGACATTCTAGATGACGTGGATTTGGAAGGGAATCGACTGGCCACTAGTTCATATATGTCACTGTATGATGCCTATAACAACCTCAAGATGTTCAAGGAAGCGGCTCTGGTACAAAAACTAATGAGGAAAGCGAATGGAGATATGAAGAAACTAACTTCTAGTGGGAACTCGGATCTGAAGGACCACATTGCTCGCGAAATGAGAGAAGAAGAGGAAAAAGAGGCAACTTCTTCTGCGGCCTATAAGTTAAACTCTTCTATATACTTCTTCATGAAGGCGCACATGATAGAAGATGCCAAAAGGGCGTACAAGAAGATGCAAAAGACAAAGATCCAACCAACGGTCACAACATATGCGAACCTAATCCGGGGCTATTTTTCCATCGGAATGGACCGCGAAATCACGTTCTTGTGGGGGGATATTCGGAGGAACACGGAGAAGGGTTTGGAGTTGAGGGACAATGGTTTGTATGAGATGTTATTGTTGAGTTTCCTTAGAGGTGGCTATTTTGAGAGGGTGATGGAAGTCATTGGCCTTATGATGGAGGAAAGGGGTGTGTACTTGGACAAGTGGATGTATAAATATGAATTCCTCAAGTTTCACAAGGATCTTTATAGGCATATGGGTGCACTTGATGCAAGAAATGAGGTGCAGAAAAAGAGGATTGCACATGTGAATGAATTTAAGAAGTGGGCTGGCATTGATTGAGCAATCTATGAACCATTAACAATGTATATTATTATTTTTTGGAAAAATCTTGTATTTAAACTAAGTAATTGGCATTTGGAGTGCTGCCCATACATTATTATTATACACACAAAAACCCCAACATCAATACAACATATATATGTCTGTTATGTGTGTGTACAAGGAAGAAAAAAAAAGAAATAGTGAACAAAAAAGATTCAAGTTTCAACACTTTGTATGGAAGAAAAGATGGGTTCACTTGGGTAAACCGGTTTCTGGGTTGAGCAGAGCCCGACTCTCGTCGCTAATCAAAACGGGTCCTCTTCCTGGCCTTGTGCAGATGAAGTAACTAACATCGCCCTTGTTCTTAGTAACATTATTATCTTTGATTTCTGGAGGCGGAGGCAGGGCTTCTATGTCGTTCAAGTCCTTAATCCCGGCATCCTCTAGTATTGAGCTATCTCCAATGACATAGCTGGAGAATTACAAAACCACAAGAACATGTCTATTAATAATACTATACATAGTGTATGTATGTATTTACATGATTTAAAGACAAGTTTTTCTTAATTTTGACCATCTTGATATTTTTAATCTGCCTTTCTTTCTATGATCTATACACGCTCTGTACACATTTTTGAATCTATATAATTTCAACTTTTTTAATCACTTAACTATGTGAAATCCTCCTATGTAAACAAGGTAAAGTTGCGTACATCTTGAACCCCAGACCTCAACTCAGTTGGGATTTTATTGGGCTTGTTGTTGTTGTTGTTGGCGGTTGTGGTGTGTGTGGGATCAATGAATGCCAAATTGTTTGATCATATATATTTATACTCCCTCCGTCCCCAATTTGATTACAAATTGCGGGTTACGGAGTAAAATTTCCTACTTTTTGAAATCATTTTATTTACAAATTGGTATATTAATAGGACATAAAAATTACATATTAAAAAACTACGTCAAAAGTTCTACAAAACAAGAGGTGACACGAATATTTTATTTTATCAAATACTTAATGAAATCGCGTAAACAAGCAAAAGTTATCGAGAGGAGAGAAAAAAAATTGTAATCTATTTAGGGACGGAGGGAGTATTATTTAATGATCGATAAGGAAGACATTATGCAACATAGCCACGTCAAGAACAAAAAAAGATGAAATACATGTTGGGATGGAAAAGTGTACCTGCTTAAATCAGTATCGGGTTTTGGAGGGAAGTAAAAGAGGAGCCTCTGTAGGAGAAGAGTAGCGGTCTTTCTATTACGAGCAATCATGACCGCATTTGGCCCAGCATCAAAGGTGTAAGCAACCTGCATTATGTTTCTGATAATTAGGGCTCTTAACTGCAGAGAACAGAAGTCAAGATGAACCATACCCATCAACCAAAACTAGACAAGGGTATAATTGGGATATAATGGCTCATCAAAGCAGATCCCATTTCTTTGCTTGGCGGCGCTCTGGACCCATTGGATCAATGTGGATCCCAAGAGCGCACCAATCGAATGGTTTCTTAACCGTTTGTTTGGATGACCCTACAACCATAGTATAATCAGTTGGCCAAGCATAGAAGCCAGGCTCCGGTAAACCCTCCTTTCCAGTAACTCAAAAGAACTAACAGAAACTTTGACATAGCTCAACATTCTGATTCTTGCATGAACCAGAACACATATTTCATATCTACCCAATCTTCTGATGCTCTTTGACACAAAAAAAACACACTAAGGCAACACCCATCACAACGTTTAAATAAGATGGCAAACATTGAATAGTTATTCCATCTTTTTTTGCATTAGCTTTTGTATGTATATATGTTACTCTTTTCGATCCTGCCCAGCCTAATACTGTAACACCGATTCATACAAGAACTCTTTATTTGAAAAGCACATTATACACGGAGTAGAGTATACCCTAAACAGGAAAAGAAAAAGAACAAACCTGTGGAGTTCCTTCTGAACGATTCCATTTCTCCACACAGCTAATTATCCTGAAATTGTAAGACACGTCGCATTTTAATTCCAATCCTTTTCTGTAAAAATGAATGTAAGCCTAAACTTCTGAATTCTACTTGATCGCAGATTAATTCCTCGAGTTTATAAAATTATAGGGAAGATAAAACTTGCCTATGAGATGTATCATTCATGTAGAATATAGGAGGAGAAGTGTCCAGGCAGACTGCATGAAACTGGTTGCTGTCTGCGCAAGTTAGTTGGGCGAACATTGGAAAATCACGTTTTTTAATTGCTTCCTCCATCTGAAGCACCCGTTTTGGAACTACCTCCTGTAAGAATTTTATAGACAAGTGATATCTCTTCTAATAACCCATCATTCACAAGTATAGCTTGTTCAACATCAACACCAACCCAGTTGAATTCCACGAGAGTAGGGTCTGGGACAAATATAGCTTGTTTGATGCGTCTTTTTTAAATCGTTTTTTATGATAGTTTCAATTAAAGCTTTTGATCATAGTGGTTCTAGTAGATGCGGTCTTTTCTTTTAAGTACTTAATTTGGAACAATTAAGAGTGGGAGTGAATACCTTTGCTCTGTGCTGTATAAGTGGACTGGTTTCAACAGTGTCAAGCATCCCTCTGGTGCTACTCGTTTCCTTCTGCCTTGAACTTACCTGAAACAGATAGTAGAATAATTGGCCCAATAAGTGTATGTTTGGTATAAACATTTAAAGGAGTTAAATGCTCATTTTAACTAAACACATTAACCTTATAAAAATGAATGTTTGACAAGTTCAAAAATCACTTATGGAATAAGCAATAGCACATTTACCTCTACGCCCAAGAACACAGATTTGGTGTTTTTAAAAATATAGTCAGTGTGTTCAAATTTAAGATTGTAGAGAGTTTTTCTAATTAAAAACTAAAGACCCAATAAAAATTTTCACATAAACTTTCCTTATATATGGTAACCCATTCACACACTAAGTACTTAACTAGACAGCATATTAGCAATCAACAAAAGAAATATAGTCAAGCCCTTTCTTTACCTATTCAGCTTTATGGTTTGATACAATAGTTCAAATAGTTAATTTTAAGGAAACAGTTACATACCACTGCGATGATAATAACCAGTTCATCCCAGTGCTTCTCATCCACGAGTTGAACAGCACGACTATCACTTCCATTTTCATCCTTTAATGCATTCATGGTAAAGTAAAATTTAAAAATAAATGAATAAGTCAATGGAATCCTACTATAGAGGAAGATGTTATAAAATGAACACACTTACTTTTCCCATGACCCACTTTACAAATCCTCCAAATAGACTGCGGCAGGCACTCCCAGAACCTTGCCTGTGTTTAAATGAAAAATGTCAGTTTAGTTTGGTTATCTGTTTTTATAATATCAAGGAAGACCTATTGAAAATAGCTTTGCTTAAGCAAAATGTAACCTCTGAAATAGCAGTCATGTAAATGAATTATATGACTATTGTTACTATTATAATATTCTGAGGTAAATGATTGTAAAACATACTTCCTCTAGTTAACAATAAGTGTCCTTTTGGAAGATACTGCACAGATTTAGGAGTTGTTAAATGGAGAAAAACATGACAATATTACCCGTCATTAATTGGAGTAATTGAATATTGAGATGAATTAAGAGGGGAAAATGGAAAAAATAACATTAAATCATATAAATGTTGTCTTCGTTTTATAAAACCATACATGTAAAATACTCCGTAAGTCCCAAAACATTTTACTCATTTTGACTTCACGAAAAACAAGTGTTGACAAGATGTTGAAACATGTAGAAAAGTGAAAAGTGAGTGGTTAAAATTTGTTTAAAGGAGAGAAGTGTTTTGAACCACATATTATTTTTTAAAAATGGAAAGAAAAAAATGGGTAAATCATTTCGGGATGGATGATTTAAGAGAGTGAACTGAGTGAGTAAATTATTCAAAGACAGAGGGGGTAATTTTTTCCACAAAAACAACACTTATTGAGAACTAGATAGAGTAGTATATCATATGGAAGTATGGAGCCACTCCCATTTTTAAAAAAATAAAACACACACACTGACACACACATCAAGAAGAAGAAAATACCTTGCTATAGCAGAAAGATGACTATTATCTTCTTTCACATTCATTAGCTTTCCAAGGGCAAAAACTGCATTAAGAGACAATTTGATTTAATTAACAGAAAATAAGGCACCCAACATTCCAGAAAGATAATGGAGAAAGCACTGTCTGCATTTTCAAAGACGAATCCTGTATTAGGCTAAGCTAAACAACCCATCTGTATCTATGAACAGAAAGTGAGTGGGCGACATTTTAATACTATTATCAAGAAAAGACCCATCTTGGTTGGTATAGATGCAAAAAAAGGATACTCCAAGCGAGAGGTTTTAGAACTAGCTATTTGAAGACAATCCTCTTCCAATACAGTATGTTCCGACAGCTCCATCCGATCCCAAAAACACATTATGAATAATGGTATCATGTACATTTAGCAATAATCTATTCTCTCATTCCTTTTCTTAATTTCAACAGAATAAAATCCAACTCTATTATTAGAATAAGTAGAACAAATGTAAAATGACCACAGTCTTTGTATACCCAGAACTATAGCAAGTTTTAAAACAGAGAGAGAAGAAATAACATAATACCAAGGCAGGCAAAACCAGCAGCAGAAGAAGCCAATCCTGCAGCAGTAGGAAAATTATTATAGGAAGCAATATGTAAATGCAACTTCTCCCAGTCCTTCTTTGAGATCTTAATATCCTTCTCCTTATCCTCAACATCACAAGCACGAGCTCTAATTTCCCTGAGACAATTTTGGTATCTGCCTCCGGCAAGTGCTATTTCCTGAACCACACAAGATTATCAGGCATGACAGTTATGATAAGTTTTATTTCAATGTTTTTTCACTCGTATTTTTAACAATCCAAATGAAAATTATATGAGTTGTAAATCCAACCACACCAGTGAGGTATTTTTAGGACTGGCAATTTGTAAGATCAAAGGTAAACACCAGAAAAGGTCCCAATTTGAGCATATTACACTTAGACAGAAAGAGTATGAGAGATGATTATAGCTAATAACAACTTCCTTTAAGCCAATGTAGACAACCCATATACTGTCGACTGTCAAGGTAGGGTTAAGATCTGCACACCCTTGCCCTCCACACACCCACATTGTGAGATTTTACTTGGTTTGTTATTGTTAAGTCAATGTAGCATTTCCAATGCAAATGGAAAAACAGTTTTGGCACTATACTTCGACTGTGAATTTAGTGTTATAAGTGATTCAAAACAATTACTCCCTCCCTCGAGTATTAGTACTTTTTATGGCCAAACTAAACAAATCAATCATAAAAAAAATTACATTGCATATCATTACAAAAATGATTCCATTAGATTTATCTTGCAAAAACATTCAAAAATTGTTTGGCTGTATGAACATGCAAATAGTTGATCAAAATTGATTCGTCCAAAAAAGTCAAACTATAGGAAGGTAGTAGTTGAAACACCAAGATTTAAGAGGTTGGGATTAAGGTGAGGATGAGAAATCTCAGTTAATTTTCAGTACCAACACATTCCGGATAGTGGAATCAGCACAATCAGAAGTGGCAGGGAGGATTTCGATTTTTCAGTACCTTGCCGTTGAGCCACATGCGATCTGCGGTGAAGGCCGGGCTGACGGCGACTGTGGTGGTGGTGCAGAGGTGGGCGGGGTCGAGGGTGACGCTGATGCTGTCATTGATGGGGAGGATGAGGGTTTCGTCCCGCTTCCCCCAGTACTTGATCACGGCAATGTTCGTCGGCGTCTGCGCCGTAGCCATCAGCACCCACCTACTCTTCTCCTCCGCCATTGCGAAGCGCGCAGCAGATAACAGAGAGAGACGGCGAGACGAAGCGGGATTCTAGAGGGAGAAATGGCCTGCGGGAGAGATCTTGGAGCCAGATCGGGCATATGTATATATATGGGTCCGAGAAGATTGTGGTTAGGAAGAAGATGGCTGCCAATTTTGAACGGAGAGAGAATTTTTGGTAGTTTATTTAAAGGCTGTTTTGATTTTCCGTTGTGGGGTCCACTGGCGCCTCCGCCGTTGCACGAGGTCATACTTTGCTCCTTTTTTTGTCCAAATTCATTTAATATTTGGAAAATGCTAGGGTGCCACTACATGAGTGCTATTATAGGTCGCACAGACAAACACAGACAATTATCGTCTGTGTTTGTCTATGCGAAGCATAAGTGCACCCATGGTAGCACCCATGTGGTGGTACCCTAGCATAGTCCTTAATATTTATCCCACTTCCATTTTGTTTCCCTCTCAAGAATTATTTGTGAATACAGACAATTATCCCACTTCCATTTTGATACATTGACAATTCAATGCAATTACAGATAATTTATGCATACGCAAACAATAATTATTTGTGAATACAGACAATTATCATCGTTATACTGTAAACTCATCTCTAATTGTTATTCGTAGAGGTACCTGTGGTAGATTTTAGTATTATTCTTGATAAATATACATATATAGCTAGAATGGTGATCTTGAGAATAATCTTTTAACACATTGACAGAGCCCGTCATAAGGTTACAATCTGGGTTATGAGTAAATTATACATAGGCTTAAGTTAACGGAAGAATCAAGAAAACTCTCTCGCACCGTCTGGCGACGTCAAAAACAAGATTAGTGATGGATTAGGGATTTTCATAATCTAATACTCCCTCCGTCCCACTCTTTTTGTCCACTTTCATTTTTGCACACCATCCAATGCACTTCTTTAATCCATTTTATCTTGTAATTTGTATATTTAAAAATTATAAAAATTATATATTAATAATCTATATGTTAAGACAAATCAAACAAGATCACACATGACTATTTTTAGACTTACACATTGAGAGAATTTGATGAGTCAAAGTGCTTAGATGAACAATTCCAAAAGTCAAAACTGGACAAAAAGAGTAGGACAGAGGTAGTATTATTTGAACAGTACAAGTAAGTCCAATTCGGTCCGGCCCAAGACACAAATCAGAAAAATTAATTAAGACAAAACCAAAGAGATATGGGCGGAAGAAAACATTTGATAGGACATTAGAATATTTTGTAGGCCTTACAAGACATCTTAGAAGTTGCATGGGTTTCACATGAAGACATGCCTCTTTTGTCACCATCAGTTATTTCCCTCCCCTCTAAAAGAAGGCTACAGAAGAAAAGAAGAGGGGGGGGCAACCTACACCCAAAGGGAGGACCGATTCCTATATACTAAAAGGAAAGGGAGAGCTCTAGTATTATAATTCTTTCTTTTTCTCATTTTGGGTTTAAGAGCTCCATTGATGGATCTAAATTTCGACAATGATGTATATGCACATTTCCCCGAGATTAATAAAAGTTCCTCTCCTTGGTATGACACCGCCTAAAAAGACCTATAATTTTCTCGCGATTTGGATTTCCACGTATAAATACTTTCTCTCCGCTTTATTTATTTATATACAGAATTTCGCTATTCGGTGTGGTGCTGACCCGATATCGAGTATGTTGGGTCGACGCCCCGAAAAAGAGATTTCCATCAATTAAATATGATAGCCTAGTCCCGCCAATCAGTAACAAAGAGGTCCAAAAGACCACACTGACCCTAAATGAAATCAATCACCAATCTGTATGGTTATTTATATGGCTAAAATAATTGTCTCATGTTTACAATGGCGGATATTGACACCTAAACTTAGCCCATAAATACTCTTTTAACCCCTCATTCCAGGGATTCCAAATTTTGATTATCTAATAGTCCTTTCTTGTGTATTATTTTAATAGTTGACTACTCAAGTAGTAATAATAATTTTTTAGCATTATTGATTCGATTAAAATATAGCATGTGTTCATACAACTCACAAGCCAATGACACATAATGAACCAGTGATTCGGCATTCATTAGGGCTTGAACCTGGGTGACTACTCAAATAGTAATAATAATTAGAAGTACTTCTACCTACAATATTTCGGTGATTGCTCGCCTTCTATTTTTGTACTTCGTTTTTAGTTCAAAGACTTAGTCATTAGCACAGACCTAGTCAAGAATGGTTCAGCTAGTTTATAGTGTCAATCATGAATATTTATTACGCTTTTCGTCTCAATTTAAATTGTCTGTTTACTATTCACGTGATCAAATTTCATTCAATTTTTTTCTTTATGTTCCCAGACCCTACTCTTGTGGGATCCAACTGGGTTGTTTTTATTGTTTCTTTTCTATTTTTGTTAATCATTTGATAAAATAATATTGTCATAACACCACTAGTTTTGTAAATCTTTTGATCTAGTTTTTAAATATATAATTTTACTTTTTAAATTCTATATCATTTTTAGTATAAATAATTTGAAAATAATTTTAGACAAATATCGTGACCAAAACAAACGATTAAAATTGAAACGGATGAAGTATAAAAACAATTACTAAAAGGGAAAATAGAGATCCAAAAGTTTTGACAACTCACAATATAATGGAACTTAAATTGAAGTTCAAGTGTTGTCACAATAAAAAAGAGATAGAAAGTTGAACCTAACATTTAATATACTCTTAGAGATCAATCCCATCCACTCAATTTGATTAAAAGTAAATCATAAACAGAGAAAATATTATTTGCGGAGTAAATACAATATAGGTCCTTCATTAGCAGGGAAATTTTCAAATAAAATCCCCAATTCATAACTATGGAAAAAGAAGCCATGTTTTCTACATTTTCTTGTTATATTAGGAAATAAAGGAAAATAAAAGCAAGTTCTCTCCTGTTTAATTCACTTCAATGAATGAAGAACGTATTAAACCATTTCAAATGGACATTCAAAGAACATATGACCTTAAACTAAATTTGGATCTCATACCCCATTTGGGGTTTATACAAAAAAACAAATTAGCATCACTTAAATTTAATTTAAAATTTCTTTGAAAAAAAAAAGTAACTGAATAAGAAACGCGAGTATGAAAAGACAAAGAAAATATCAAAACACAATGATCCTATTGTCAAAAAAAATTACAAAACACCACTAAGTGTACATAGATCGAGAACGACAGCAATATCAGGAATTGCGACTCACAACAACTGGAGAACCCGTTAGTCATCGCTTTCAAGATCATCATCGTCAGGTTCAACATCAACAATGTCGGGAATTGAGTCCGAATCATCATCCGATTCTTGCATAAACCCCTTAAGTCTGCTATCCGAAAATGATATAGAAGAAGAGATGTTATTCGGAAGCAAACCTTCCATCAAGCCTGTGTTCTTTGACTGGGCATCAGTTTCCAAGGGAACTGAAGCGCCAACTCTTGCATGGTCAGCATTTTCCACTTGTCGCTCTTCGATTGGTTCTTGAGTGTGTTTTTGGTCAACTGTGACCTTTGCACCAGATTTAAGGCACAGTAGATGATCATTTGAGGAATCTGAAGGCTTTATGGTGTTACTCTTATCCTTTGTAACATCAGATGGAGATGGAGCTTCTTGTGTTGCATCATCATCCTCATCTTCATCATCAATCTTCATCCATCTTTCATGGAGATCGTCGTATTCTGACTCGTGTTGCTCTTTGGGCCCATTCTGTGACACTTTGTGCAAGTCAGAAAGAACTTCTTGTCTCCCTCCGCCACTGCCTAATTTCATGTGATCCGTAAGCCTCTGATATTGGCCATTAAAAGATTGGTGGTCGAACAATGGGAGAGCCCGAGGATGTATGAGCACCTCCAGTGTCAAAAGAGCATGTGTGCAGAACTGGGAAAGTCTTGTTCCTGTTTCTTGCACCCCTGCAGTGGGTTTGTAAGAGGTATAACATGCAATGAGTATTACAACTCAATTAACCAAAAAAAGGACAATTTTGAAATTAAAACCAACCGCAGATCCTGATAGCCCAGTACCCAACAACCCCCGCCTAATAACATTTAGATCTTGCCCCAACTCCGAAAAGGTTCTGTGTTCCAACATTGCTTCCAGAAAAAGTATAGTTCTCAAAGATAAAACATATGTATCCATTGCAGGTATAATCTGTGGCACTGAGTTTGTGAAGACAAGGAGATGGGGTATTTCTTACATCTTGATTTGTACTAAGATGAGGAGCTATTACATGATAGGCTTAGCGATAGTGCTTTCTAGAATCCTTTAGATGCGATATAATGAGCTAAGTGATGATGTCATGCTCTCTAGAAATCTCTGCATATTTCTACGCCCCTCAAGCCAGAGCATATAAATTATGGATACCATTCTACAATGCTAGTTGGAAATTTAATCAATCCGGGCCCTCTGAAGAACTTGGTGCATATCTACACATGTTGCAAAATTTACAAATCTTGCAGCTACGCAGCCAGGCATGATTATTTTCTCTATTGAAGTGAGAATTAATTTCAAAGTGTTGAAAGAACAATTTGAACTGTCCACTGTTTTCCTAAATGTTTGAGCTAGAATTAATACAAGTTTTGGGTTGCCCATTCATATATGATATGCTCCTTATTACATAGTGAGTAGTGACAAAGAAAGTATTTTTCACCTCTTATATACGGAGTAATTCTTTTATGGCGTCTCAAGCGATCATTCATATATCTAGTTGTCTTTGCACCCTCCAATTGTCTTATCGCTGAAATGAATCGTATTCTCTTGCTCACTCCAAGATCAAATTTTGGAGTTGTAAAATCAACCATGTATACGAGCGAGCAACCAAAACTAAAAATGTATACCTTTCCCAGTGATATTTAATAAATGGCATGTTATCATCTTTTTTCAATAATCACATTCCTCGTTCTACTTCGCATCCTTCAACTTCAACAACTCCGGAGCAATCAAACTTAATCTTACTTTGGTACTTGGTAAAGGTATAAATTCCTCACGCAGTGCACTGCCACTGTTTATATTCCACCCATCCTGCTTTTGTAACATCCTTGTCCAGTAGCTATTTCCAAAACTGTCCGCGAAGCACTTCCCTATCTATGTTGGCGACGGGCTATGGTTAAAAAAAGTGAACGCTCAAAGTTAGTCTCACTGACTAACAAGCATTTGCAGACCATTTGAAAGCTCGTCTCGCGATACATTTAGGTAGGTCTTGTAGAAATTTAGCATGATTCAAAGCAAGATTGATCATTTTATGTTTTTATTCACATGGCATCTCTGAATGTTATTTAGTGTGTAGTTTATGTTTAAAAGGTCTACTAGGAATGTTATCCACTAATTTCTTAAAGGTCTTGAAGGAACGGAAAACTCAAGAGGTCCCTCATAAAATTAACCGCTATAAGATGAAGATGAAGCTTAGCCATTCCACTAATAGTTACTAATATTTATTTATATTTATATCAAGTTTGCACAAGGGAATTGGATTATTACTTAAGCAAAACCATAGCATTACCTCTACGAAAAAGCTCAAATCCCTGGGCTAGATGTGGAGGACGAACAGGTACAGTACACTGGGGTGCATCTGGTAACCGAACAAGGCAAGGAGAAAGAAGAGAAGCCAAAAGAGCATGTAAAGCAGCAAGTTGAAAACTTGATGAGTTGCCGATTGGTGTTTCAGGAAGATATACACTGCTCTCTACTTTTGAGAGTCTTACTCGGAAAGCACTTGTTGCAACAGCCAAGATAAGGTCATCAACCTTTGAGCGCAAATCCCCGAATTTCCAAGAACCACCCTATTGAATGTAAATTAATAACCCATCATTATGACTGAAACCTTACACTAACTGTCTCCCAAAAATAGTCATGTTTCAAAAAAAATCACAAAAATTAGGGGTGCACGTTGATTTAAAAAAATGGTACTATGTCTTCATGTAATATGTCCAAAAATTGCCAAAAAGAGTCGTGTGTCACATGTGATGAATTTAGTAAACCAAATTTTTTAAAATGTAAATATGGTCAATGGTTTATGACTATTGTACCTTACCAAAATAATCAAACACGACCTTTTAGACAGGTAGTATTTTTATTATTTTGCATGTGAACAAGCTGGATAAAAGAATGTGAATTGGTGGAGTACCGTGCTTAATCATCATCGAAAGTCATTCACCTAAATGCATGATATATACAAGGGCATCAGAGTGATTGATATAGTAACATACCACAGTCAAAAAGGCTTCTAACACCTCCAGTGCAGCTATCTTCAAAGATATCAATGTTGAGTTTTGCATTTTTACTTCCATGACATTTCCATCAGGTTGGTTTTCATGAGAAGCTGCAGTATTTGTGTGCTTCCTTTTCTTCTTGCTGGTAACGACTTGTGCCTCCACATATATCTTTGCATGATCACCAAGAGATGTGCCCCCCCCATCCAAATCGCTTAAAGCACTGTCCATTATCACTTGCGCTAAGTGTGCTGATATCCCTGTTTCCATATAAACCATGTAATAACGAACTATTAAAATTACATTGAAATTATTTCTTTCAGAGATTGTGCTGCTTGCTCAATTCCAGCAGTGCTAATTTAAACCTGTCCCCCAACATGGAATTTGAAGACTGCCAGTTTAAAAAAAAACTCATCTTTTCCAAATGTTGAAGGGTTATTAACTAGATCGGTGATAAAAGCCAAGATTTTCTTAGTTCATAAATAAATATATCTGGAAAGCAGTTTCATAAACTCTAAACCTTTCAAATGTTTGAATAAATAATTCCATTTCAATCTGATGCAGATAAAACTATTTCAGCATTCTTTAGGCAATCATAAATTCAGGTTTATGAAAATGGTGAAAATTGAAAAGGAAATGAACTTTTCATATCAAATGCTGATATAAACAAGGGAAAATGCATCAAGAAAAAGAAAATCTTTAAGTTACATATGCAAAGGGTATTCCATCATATTTAAAAATGCTAAAAATACATACCGACCCCCATTGATAGTAAAAGAACTTTTGTTACAGAGTACAACTTTATCCGTAGCTCTGGCAAAGCACATATTTGGAAATACTCTACGAGCAGTCGTACGATGCCCCCAGCATATGGTAATAGTTGGCTGCAATGAAAAAAATAAACAATAAAAATATTACTTATTGCTTTTCAAGCAGATGGACACAACATGAATTATTATTATTTTTGTAAGGGGTGTTATGAATGTTTAAAAAAAGTGCAACAACCAAGAACAAACTAGCAAGTTAAATAATGACTTCATATCTAGTGACTGCTAGTAGAAATGGTCTTAATCTTTGAGATGGTAAAAAAGAACAAAGTTTCCACTTTCCCGTACATTCTTTCATGACTTCATGATGATTTTCAATACAACGATTTCCACTTCAACATACTCCCTCCGTCCCATATCTCTCTTTAAGTTGCGCAAAACGAAGAAAAATCCCAAGTTTTTTCAATCTATTTTATTTAAATATTGGTATAAAAATTAAAAATAAAACTTACATATTTGAAAACTACATCAAAAGCTCAACAAAACAAGTGGTGACAAGAATATTTTGTTTTATCATGTAGGCCATGAAAAAACACAAATTAATAAAAGTTCCCGTGAAGTTGGAATAGTTCATTGCGAAGAAAGATATGGGACGGAGGGAGTAACATATTAAAATAAGAGATAAAGTACTCCACATAGGAACATGTTTGCTTCAGAAAGAACTACATTACATAGTCCATCTCTAACCTTTCTGCAAAACTACTTGAGACATAATGTCCAGCAATGAAAAAGATAAAGTTCACCTGTGCAGTTCCTTCACTAAAACAATGATGAGTTCCAAGCTGCACATATGCAGAAGTGGGAGTTCTGAAAGAATCAATTCTTGTTTCATAGTAGTCATGAAAGCATATAAGGCAGAAGCAGAGCCATCTACCATCAAAACTCTCTTACTAAGGTCGACTAATGCACATACTGGTACAGCAACCTATCAAATGAAAGAAGCAGAATTTTATGCACTGACAACAGTAAAACTTGAATCCTGTAGTGCCAGGGAATAAACAATATTTCAATGTTCTTGGCAGATTTGCAAGGTAAAGGTAAACCTACTTGAACAGTATAAGGACTAGAAAGCATCGTAGAACAGCAAAGCATCAATATAGAAATTTGGGAGATCAGCATGTGCTCGGATCTATTCATATTCTCTGATGAGATTTTTCTTGGCGTATCTTGACCTCCAAGTGGAGGTGGTGTATCTTTCCCAGGGGGAAGCAACAACCTCATCGCCTCATTGTGTCTAGTCTCTGTACAAACAAGACAAAGGGAGTAAGTAATATACAAAATTTAGTATTTAAAATATCATGATATATCCAAAGATTACCTGGCTCTAAACCCTGAAATACATCATTTAGTTGAATATTGATGAATCTTAAAATCTTATGCATCATCAATAACCAGCTGTCTTCATCTCCTTTTGACTTTGGAAGCAGCACCAAACAATCACCTAGCTTCTGAAAACTAAACCCAAATAATTGTCTACTTTTGGCAAGCACATTAACAATATGAGGTCATGTTAATACACAATGCCAATTCCTTACCCTCAACATAACTTGACTGCACTTCCCTGACATGAAATTTGAAAAAACAGCAGACTCAACCTGCCAAAATCATGATATCTCAGAAAACCATCTATAACCATAGGGAAGTAAAAGTAGCTCACATACAACATTGAAAGATTATGTAAATTTGAATATGCTAGAAGTTAACTATGCATCCAAAAAGAACTTCCAAAATTTTATGTTAGTCTCAATTGGTAGGCCGTGAGTATCAACCCTTCAAGGGGTGAAAATGTAGAAAAGAACAAAGAAGATTAAAAAATACTGAATGAATAGACATATTCTGATAACAATCATAACAGGGGTGATAAAAATCCAGAAATCAGAACTACTTGAGCTGGGAAGTGTATTCCAAGGTGATAGCTAAAAATACTTAACAAAGGTTCAATACATGCTTTCTCCAAACCAGATTGTTCATTAATATGAACAGTGTCTCCATTTAATCTCTTAATTTTAAAGTGGAAAAAATATTGTGGTGGTTCTACATAAAAGTGCAACAATATATGAGCTTTTGATGTGGGCATTGATCGAAACACCACAAAAGGTTCAGAAAATAGTATTCCAAAGTTTGAAAGGAAGGATTATAGAGAGGTTGATAGCAAACGTACTTCATCATAACATCTTTGGACTGATGAAGGAAATAAATTTATTAATGTGCATAACAGAGATACAGCTTCCTCCTGCAGATGTCAAGCTTAAGTCAGAATGACAAATACCCTAGTAATGATAGAAAATAGTGCTACAGATGTCAGATATCTAAAACATTAAAAATATATATGCAAACTATGTTATTCAAATATGTATGATATAAAACAACCCATAAAACAATTGATGTATGGTGTGTGTGTGTGTGTGTGTGTGTATATATATATCATAAAGAGGAACGGAAACTACAGATGTCAGATTTTATATATATAAATGTCAGATATATATATATATATATATATATATATATCATAAAGAGGACTCATAGATGGTGTTCACCAACCCATAAAACAATTGATGTATCTTCATTTAGCAACTTTAACACTGGTTGTATAACTTTTGTAGCTTGTGATGTCGCATCTTTCTTTGCATTAGTGAACCCACTCAACCTATTCAAGCAAATGCAATGTGTTAATCATATAAAATGCATGAAGAACGTGCATTCTGGCATGAGATCTACCATGGATGCTACAACAACAACGCTAATGCATGAAAAAACTCAATTAAAAGAAAATTATGTTTGCACATGTTTGGCTTATAAGCATGTGATCAGTGACAGAGTCAGAAATTGAATGTTAGGGGGGCTAAAATTAGGTACTGCGTATATAAACAATTCAAAGGACAGAACTCAAAATAATTATTGGACTGGACACTATCTATAAAACCTGTCTACTTTCCATGTAGGGATATGGTTTTTGTAGGCTTACACTCGATAAACCCCATTGCGAGATATTTCGTGGGATTTGACTGGGTTTGTTGATGTTCTACTGCTTGTACACTACATTTTTAGACTGAGCTAAACTACTCTTTTGAAGAGGCCAATACTATTTTGATTATAGTATATTAGCAGAAAAAATGTGGCGCCATCATTGCATGTGATCAGTCACATTTTCTATGATACACTGGCGTATTTAACTTATGTGAATGTTTTGTCTGAACCTAAAAACAAATAGAGGTATGGTGTAGTACATGTGTAGTTTTATAGCTGAAAGCCTGAAATGACTGAAATCAAAATAAATTACCCTTTTGCCTTCATCTTCTAGATTTTATTTCCTCTAATGTATTAAAAAGCTTTCTTTTAAATATCTTTTTAAGTACTTCAACTACTCCAGCAACACACAAGAAATTGAACACATTTAGTCATTCAATCATTTCAACCAAATTTTATCCTTGCAAACCTCACCAAATGGGCCTTAATAGGCATTTCAAACTACAGAGCATTAAATTGGAGGCAGTAATACCATTGAGATGCAGACGAATAAAACATTGCAAGCAATGGGAAGGGACTTGATTGAGATTCAGTTGCTACTAGCATAATTTCTTAGCATCTTAATATATGTTTCAAAGTCACAATTGTTAACATGAAAATATGAAACCATTTAAACAGTATTTTGCTAAAAAAATATATAGCCGAGGGTTTAAAATGTTGAGATCAGAAAACAAACCTTGAGAACAGATCCGATACCGAAGCACAAGAGGCCGCCTTCACAAGGTGAGAATCTGCTGGAGACTACTTCATACATATACAAGTAAACCCTGTTAGATTTTAAATGGCTTCCGGAATTCACTATTCATATACTCTTCACCAATTGCAACAAAACATGCAGCATACAAGGGAAACAAAATAAGGTTTCTTGTTAGCCATCAAGTTTTCAAGTGTCAAAATGTCAACCATATGATAAGTATGGATGCCAGCTAACAACAAAAGTTAAAACATTATGAACTAATAAATAAATAGAAAAAATTTAAAAAAAAATCCAAGAGGCATGAGGGCATAATTAGCAAATACTCCCTACACCCCAAGAGGACATTAACTTTGTGGAGTTTAGCAAAAAGTGTTGGAAAGTGAAAATTGTGTGCCTAGCATTTGTTGAGAGGAGAGAAATATTGTGAGGCAGATATTCATTTCCTCACAGGGAAATGGGGAACTTGTGAAGTTAATTTTGGGACGAGCAGAAAAGAAAATAGTGAAGTTTATTTTGAGACGAAGAGATGCGTACCAAGAGAGCACTCCGTCGGCAAGCCCACATTTGAACATTTCCGAACAATCCGTAACACAAGCATGAACCAATGATGACAAAAAAATTAATAAGGTCTCTTGTGTTGGGTGTAATGGACGTAGCAGGACTTAATCGGGACAAACCAGGACATGTTTAGATGGTTTCCGGTCACAAAACCATAGTAAACGAAGAAAAAAAAGGAAAACTGGTGCAGGAAATTCCACAAACCAGCACGATATTTGCATGCAAAATGACACAAGAAATTACTGCATGAAGTTGCTGCTGGTATTCAACAAAACCAGGGCTGGGATTGCAGCGTGCTAAAATTACTTCATATTTGGGGCATAAAGACAGTGTCAATTACTTCATGTTTAAGGCAAAAAGACAGTGTCAATATTTTGGGACATTTTTTATGGATTTTGAAGATTATGGTGGCTGGATGAAGCCAAAGTATATTTTCATAAAGTATTTCATGAAAATTTTACTAAAGGTTATCACCATTTTCATTAATCTCGTCACATGGTAAATAGGGGACAAGATGAAATTTTTATTATGATCTTCATCCGATGGAGCATGACAACACATGCGGATTTGAAAGCACATATCTTGAGGATCTTTCAAGAAAGGTATCATAAGGATTTGATAACATTCTATTTTGATATTTGTAAATTTTAATTTAATATTAATTAGTTTGTAATTTAGTGAGTAGTTAGTGGTTAGCCTATACATAGGTTCATTCTATTCATTGTAAAACTACTAGAGTTTGAATGAAATAGTGAGTGATAATGTTTGACCCTTTGGGTTGTAAGAGAAATTTTCTCTTGAGTGAAATTAAGTGTGAATTTAAACACTTAAGGAGTTTTCTAATTATCAAGTTAAATAATACTCCGTAACATTTAACTTGATGATTATGAGATCCACATATCAAGTTGCTATGTAATACTAGCGTAGAGGTTTGAAAACCTATTTTCGCCTCATTCAGGAAGTCGTGGGAAGTGAACCTAACTAAACAAGGTCGGTCCGGATACCGCATCCGCATCATTCTGTGTCCAAGCATATCATGGAGAGAGTAATTCATTTCTATAGCATATGAGGGTAAATATTCAATCGCAAAACGTCAATTTTCTTAAAATGAACATACGAAATGGGAAAACATGGCCAGCATATGAATGGTTAATTTGCTGCAGAAAACATTTCCATGTTACAATTCGAGTGCATAAGCATTCTTCATAACCGGCAATGCCTGATTGGTTTACTTGTGACATATTAAAACAATAAAATTATAATAGTATTGGAATGTCATTAGAAATAATAAGAGTCACTGAGATCAGCTAGAATACCTGAATATGTGATAAGAGCTTGAGAAACCAAGAAGGGTATGAAGCAAAGAAACGCGCTGAACTGCATTCTTGACAAGTCACCCCAAGCAGACATATCCCAGCCCAGCACTTATCTGGCTACATGCATTGTAAGACAAAATACAAAGACTTCTAGTAAGTCAAACAATTCTGATAATTCTAATAACGAAAGAAACAAGGATATAAAATTGAGCAACAATCCTGAGTATTAGATGAAGAAAACTTCATACACATTCTGAAAGTTTGCATAATAAGATCCTTATATTTTTACCCATTTTATCCATCGAAAAAATGAAAAAACAACCATAAGTCAAACTCTAACTGTGCAAGCATTGATTTAAAAAAAATCGTTGAATCAGGAAAAACTGAAAATTCATATTCTCTAATACTCAAACTGGTTACTACATACGTAGTATTTCTTAAAAAGATACTACCCCATACTATCTTTCCACCACCAGACACAAGACTTGCGTCCAGGTTAGAATTCAAAGTGCCCTAATACACACGCGTGTGGCGGTATTTTCTTCAAAGTAATCCTAGCAAGATGCCACCATTTCAAAGGAAAAAAAACAGAAGAACCTCACTTTTGCACAATCAGTCATCACATTCACCATCCAAGCACGCAAAAGAAATGCTTCAATAACTAAAATAACTCCTTTCACACAAGTATTCATATATTACGAGCTTAGGTTTACCATGCTGCTTGAGGCAAGATTCAGCAAACGCTTGACCCAGTCATCCACTGCCGATTTCCAAATCTCAATTATCTTTTGGCCGGCAGATGGTGGAGCTGATTCAGACAGCAGCCGATGAGTTTTGACGACGGAGACGACGTGAGAGAGATCGGAAGGGCTCCGAAACGGATGCTTTTCAGTGGGAACATAGTCAAGCAATAGGGAGCGGAGCAGCTGAGGCTTCAAAGCGACGTCGTACAAGCCCTGGATGTGATCGGACGCCGCCATTGAATGCTATGGTGAGGAAGAGGAGCAAGAATGGAGACTAGGGTTTATGACTGCTAAACCCAGATGATTGATTGAGCTGCGCGCGGGGTTTATGCCAGCTGGGAAGGAAGAGGAATTACAACCCGATTCGTTCGGTACCGGTAAACCCCCTAATCGGGTAGGTTCACTACTTTGGTCAAGTTGGTGGTCGGTTAGGGACTTATGGACAAAAAAGTTTATTCTAAATATGACTAAAATATAGAACAAATACAGAATATTAAAATAGTAGTTCGTAATTTAGTAATGTAGCATTGTACATGTCCATTTTACATAATGTAGCATTGTATATGTCCATTTTACATAATGGAACAAAAATAAATAAAAAGACTAACATTAACTAAATATTAATTATTGAAATTAACAAAATAGAATCGAAATATAAAAAAGTTGAAATTGAATACATTAAAAAAGGGTTTAAAATTAAAAAAATTAAATTGAAAAAAATGAAGCGGCGCCAAGGAAGAAGAAGCTAAAGGAGCACAACAACGAAAAAGGGGAGGAGGTGGGGCACGGCAATCCGTCAAAGTGGACGGCCACCCGTCCAAAAGCGCCGCAAATGGAGACTGGTGCAGCGCCGTGGCTGAAGTTCTGGGGCCTCTCCCGCAATTGGTGACCGGCACAGCGAAAGGTCGAGAAGCGTGCGGCACGACGGTTTCCTCTCCTCTCCCATTGCAAATACTCTTAGGGTTGGTACTACCGATTTTAAACATTTCTCATTTTTATAACAAAAGTAACTGAATTCTTTAAGACATCAAAAGGTGAACTACAATCTCTGAGAATAATAGTCGAGAGAATTATTAATCTCATTCCGGGATAGGACAAAAAAAAGTGTACCCTATTTCAAAATCGAGTTAGGGTTGGTCAAACTGATTGTAAACACCTCTCATTTTACGACAAGCGCAACTAAATTCATCAAGACATCAAAAGGGGAAAAGACTATAAGTTTGGGGAAGTAATAGCTTGGAGGACTTCTGGTTGAGAGAACAGTCGATCTACTCTTAAGTAATATTTATCGTGGTGATAGGAGTTTATCATCATCCCAATATTAGTACACTTGCCAAATTCATTTTTAGTAGGTCATGAAGGCTAACAGTATGCTCTATCTTTATTTTATTTCTTTTCATTTTGTAATAGTGGCATAAACATTTTTTTATCCTGCTATCATATGTAAATATTAATTCAAAGAGTATCTCCAAAGGAATCTTATGAGATGACGAGAAAGTCTCTAAAATTATATGGTGTAACCTCGAAATCACGAGTTCGAATCCTTAGGCCTTCAGAAAACTTTTGCAAGCTCTATATTTATTTTGAGGAGTAGTTGGATGATGATGTTGGGAAAATTTTGAAGCTATGATGTGGTCGTCACTTGTTAGAACCACGAGTCGTTGAAAAGGACAGTCGTACAATTGCCTAAAATAACTTTGGGAGAAATTAGTTTAAACTCAAATCAACCAAAAAACAACTTTGTAGTTTGTCCGAGTAATTTCAGGCCAAATTTTATACTCCGTAACTTTGTTGGATAGTGACCCGCTAAAGCACTACCCTAGAATTCCACTCCACTCTCGGTTCCTGCCAAAACAGAATTGGAATCAAATATTCGAACTGAATAACCCAATACCGAAATGGTCTGATAACTAAATACCGAATCTATAATAACAAAAATTGGGGATCTATATATATTCCAAACTAAATCAAAAGAAGTACATGTTCTTAGCCGCAAATTAGAACCAAACCCGATTAGACCCGTTCAAAATCGATCAGATCGACTCAAAATCGATCGGAATTGAAACTAATCTATATGTTATATATGTTTGAAAAAATACACAACATGCACATATTTGTATGTGTTTACATGTATATTTTACATATAAAGATGTAAAATTTAGAAAAGTAAAATCTTCCCTTTTTGGCTTGAGAGCAACACAAAGGGAGGTGCTAAAAGCTACTCCATTCTTTAAACTTATTCAAGGATATGAAGTAAGGAGTAAAATGTAAAATAAGTGCTCAAAATATCTACCATATAATCGAGTGTACCTAAAGCGAGGTACATTTGGCGATTACTCATTCTGAATCACAAAAGGTTTTGATGTCCACTTATAATTGATGCAACTTGCTCCATTGCAAAAGAACCGTCGTTGCTTCAAATCTGCAACAGAATTTTGTTTCCGTCGCAAATTAGCGACGGAACTGCGATAGGAAAAAAAGTTGCTTGAACTATTCATATCTGCGACGAGGTTGGATCCGTCGCAGATCAGCGACGGTTTGATAGTGTTGTGGTGAGGAAAATATCCTTTACGACGGACTGCTTCCTGATTCGTCGCAAAAAAGACAGAACAAAACCCAGCATCTTGCATTTCTGCAATTTCAAGATTTTGTATTGACCTTCTACAAACACAATATGGAGGGGGGCTGTGATCAATCAAAGACACATCCCATAATAGAAATACATAACTTTTAAATATAAATGTCAGACAAAAACTGTTATAATGATTAATAACTTCAAATATTTAAGTTAATAATGTAGTCTATGCATGAATAAACATTAAAGTCAAATGTTTTAACATTAACTCAAACAATCTAACAAACTCTTCCAGGCTGCCCTGTTCCTCCTGTTGCGTCATTGTCTCGTGGACGATTGCTATCACCTGATAACTTGCGTCATTCACCATTTAAAGATTCAGTTGTTCCGAATGTTGGGTACCACTAGTTGAGTACAACGAGTTGTATAATAAAACTTCACCAATAAAAAAGAAAAAGATTAGTCTATGTGTTTTCAATTTTCTGTTAAGAACTTTTGGGTCCTACGTTATTTGAAATATACTTCGGGGTACTCCTACTTTCTCAATAAAAATTTTCAGGTCTCACATTATCTGAAAGAAAGATCAGGGGTCCTTGAAGTTAGTGGTAGTGTACTTCGAGCGTACATTACGTCTATTTGGTCATTATGATTGAAAGCTCTCTTATGTTACTTTGACAAACACCAAATTTTACATTGATGAATTTATTTTATTAAACTTTAATAAAATCCTTCAAGTTGTCAGCGTGACAAAACTTTCAATCATAACGCCTAAATGGACGGAATGCACTATTGGAGTATAATATCACAAATTTGAATGGCCCTGGAGTATATTTTGAATAACGCGGGATCTATGAATTCTTACCAGAAAATTGAGGGTACTCAGAGTATATTTCAGATAATGCAGGATCTTATAGTTCTTGCTACAAAATCGAAAGTAGTCGAAAATAATTTTTTTGCATAAAAAACATAAAAAATACTCTCTTTTCCGCCAAAACACTTATACTTTCTATTAAAACCACTTATTGGAGTTGAGAATGAGTGTTTATTTCTCAAGTTCAAATGAGTTTGAAAAAACACAATCACATTTGGTGTATGTTCATGTGAAACATATTTTGGAACTTGTGTCTATCATTATCGTAGTCCACATTTTCCGTTCCTCTTTCATCTTCGATAATCATATTGTACATTATGACACGTGCATCCATAATGGTGGCTAGAATTTCTCTCCCAAAACGAGCAGTTCCTCTCACAATAGTCCATCGAGATTGTATAACTCCAAAAGCTCATTATACATTTTTCCTTGTCGACTCTTGTGCTGCGGTAAAATTGGGTTTTTTTCCTTTCTGGGGGACATGTAACTGTTTTCACAAAAGTCACCCATGTTGGATATAGGCTTTGTTTGGTAACAGCGTTTTCGATTAGCGTTAGCGTTTTGGATAAAATTTTAACGGTGCAGATTAATTCTGAAAACGCTAACGCTAAAGGCTACCGTCAGATAGCTTTTTCAAAACTCTAATGCTAATCTCTGACGCTGATGCCAAACAGGGCCATACTCAATCAGCTAAATAGTATCCCATGGCTTTTACTCGTGACCATTAATTATGAAAAGTCATAATATACTTTCTCTGTCCCAAAATATTTATTGTCTTGTCTTTCTGCAATCAACTAAGATTGATCCTTGATTTATAATTAAATAAAAATTACATGGCATATTAATTAGAAAAAAATATATTCAAAAAATATTTTTTAAGATCAACCCAATGAAAATATTGTTGTTTCAGTATCTAATGGAGTATTATAAATTTTATTTAATCAATAGTCAAAATTTATCAATTTTATTTGCAAAAAATTAAAACTGAACAAATATATATACTTTGGAACAAAGGGAGTAGAATAAATGATACGGTTGGATTGAGGGTAGATAATGGATTGTTATAACACTCTTGAGAAACTAAAGTAATTTTTAGCTTTTCGAAATATAACTCTCCCTTTGGAGATGCCGAGTGTTTATATCATTGACCTTTTACATAAGCAAATTAATAAATTTTGAAAATAAAAAAAACTAATACATATCTTTGCGATAATTTATTGCTCATGCGAGAATATTAATATTTCACGTATGGATCTTAGATCCATATAAGAATTTACATGATGCCTTTCAAGAATGCAGAGGTATCCTAAAAGAATAGGAGGCAAAATTTACCAAAACCATTACTTTACCACAAAAAATCAATGAAAATTCATGTCAATACTAAAAAAAATTGAGATTTCACACAAATATTCCAAGATTACAATTTCCCAAAATAAATATTTATATAATAATACTCCACAATTACAAATCGGTCGGTCACAGATACTCCTGGAAAGATGCAGGAGTCCATGTAAAATGAGATTCTTGAATGGAGTATTAGTATAAAAACACTTAAAACTGGAAGAACATGTGATGAACATGCAATCTTGGATTGTTGATTTAAAATCTCAAAAATTGACAACCCGGGAGAATTTGATTTATGAGACTGTTCTTGTTCCTGCTGCTGCGGGCAATGACTTGAGCAGATTGAGAGAAGGTCGCCTCACGGTGTGGTTGAGAAGAATCATTAGTGTTAAGAGTGTTAGAGCCCCAGCTTGGTGTGCTGTTCCTAATGAAACAGGCACGTACGCAAGAAGCGTCGATATGCCCAAGCTCACCTGTTTAAATCAAATGGTGTAATAATAAGTAAAACATGGACCATATGGCATTAGTATGATATTTTGTTTGTTTTGGCCAAGCCCCGACGAATTTGTTTTTGGGTACCTCCTAAAAGGCATCATACTAATGGAGTTGAGTTGAACCTTATATATTTGTTTTGACTTCTCTTCTCCTTTCGGTGTGGGATGAGGGTTGCTCCCAACACCTCCATCCCAAAATAAATAAAGTTCAGAAATTTTCTTTTTCGTAGTCTCAGAATGAACTTCAACT